GCGGACAGAGCACGAGAAGGCAAATGGCAGCTACTCGAGTGAGTGGAAGAAGTACATGGGCAGACAGGTCGAATGCGTGGTTTGCTTGGAGGAGTATGTTGACGGCGTCAGCCGCGTCATGAGCTTGCCCTGTGGCCACGAATTCCACGCAGAGTGCATGTGAGTCTATCGCCCGCGCCCCCCCCCCCACCCTGCGACCCTTCTTGCTAATCATCATCAACCACTCACCCTCTCCCACTTGTGCACCCTCCCCCCTCCCTCCCCCATCACCTTCCCCCGCCCCACCCCCCCCCCCCCCCTACCCCCTCCCCCCCCCCCCCACCCGCCTCCCCCCCCCCCCCCTCTTTGTATATGTTTATAGTACTGACATTCCCAGCACACCTTGGCTGACGACGCGCCGCCGCACATGCCCCATCTGCAAGGGTGACGTTGTCCGCTCTCTTGCACGCGGCTCTCCCTCCAGCCCCCGCTATGAACCGTACCACGACGACTCTGACGACGAGGTGGAGGCCGAGGCATCCGGCTCGCGGGACAGGGACGAAGACGTGGAGCAGGGTGGCATCCTCTCGCCCGCGCCAAGGGGTCGCCAGACCCGGTCCGACGGGTGGTTGGGGATGTTGTCCGGTAGCTTTGGAGCGTCGTCCCGCGCCAGTCGATCATCGCAGGATGATCGTAACCGGTGAAGTCGGTTCGCTCATCGACTGAGGATGTCGCATCACCTCTCAATGCTAGCATTTTGTTTTTTCTGATTTTTACGTTTGGCACCGTTGGAGGTTGCTTTTTCTTTCGGGCATGGACTGGGAAGCACTAGTCCCACGGGAAACGGGACACATGGCGTAATTAGGGGTTTCTCAGGGGAGACAAGGGCTTTCTCATGGGCACATTGGCGAAGGGGTTTTTTTTGGGGGGGGACAGCATGGCCGAGAGGTGAAGAAAGAAACCAAGACTCGAAATGGCCCGGGAGAGAAATGGGAGGGACCTCACTACACTCGTTTCGATTGTTGTCCTGGACGTAAGGTTTTTTGCTTTCTGCGGATGGTTGTGGTCCTTCAGGCCTGAAGGATATACGACTGAAGTGAAGAGAGTGGCTGTGGCTGTGGTGTGGCGTGAGGTGGCCGATATACCCGTCGTCTCGTCCCCAACTGGCGATCGGGGGGCGGACGCGCTCTTGGAATAATGAACTCCATTGACTATGACACTTTTATTTGTAACCTAGTGACTGACTGTGCGATGTGATGAGTGAGGTATCATGGGCGAGTTTAGCAGATGTGTTACATGCGAAGAAACAACGAAGTGAAGTGAAGTATTGGTGTTATGATGTGTGGTATCTAGGCTCTCTCAAGGAAAGGTGGAATTCATGTTTGGGGTATCTTATATCCTATGTACGCCTGGCCATGTCCGCGGGTTGAAGCTTTGTTTCTGTTTCTGCGCGTGTTGTACCGAGGAGCTTGCCTCTTCGTGGTTGAATGAGCTCCCCCGCTACCGTTCCTATTCCTGTCGGGTGAAGAGCATAGGCAACGATGTGGATTACTTCTTTGGTGAAGGGAGGGTGGCAGTAAATCGGTAGTAGAGATCTCCAGGACGGCATGATGTTGTAATCGGGGTGAGAAGGTTGGTACGGATGGGTACTTGTACCGGTTTAAGCTAGAGGTGAGATTGTGCTCTCCCTCTATCTACCGTTATGGTGGGAGAGGCCGAGTGGACGAAAGGTTCAGATGTCGTTGTAGAAGATCATGCGGGGCGTATCGCGCGCGGCGACGGCGTGGAGGTATGCGGAGCCTGGGTGGGGTGCTGTCGTTACGGAGCCTGCTGTTGGTGGTGTCGTTGGTGTTGAGGAGGAGGAGGGGGATGGTGTTGATGGGTTTTGAGATGTGCTTGTGGTGTTGGTGTATGTGGGCGGGGAGAGGGGTTGGTTTGGTGAGGGGGGTTGTTGAGTTAGAAGGTGGGTTCTTTTGGGGCCTTTTGGGAAGGTTCTGGGAGATGTTAGTTAGGTGGATGAGATTGGGGTGGTGTTTGAAATGGGTGTGATGAGAGGAAGATTAGAGGTGAGGCTTGGATACGTGTGTGAGAGGGTCAGGGTTGCGAGATATAGGAGAAGGTTAAAGATAGGGGTGGATAGGCGAGGAAGACTCGTGATTATGAGAGCAGGTTGTCCGAAGATGTCAACGGTATGATGGAATGATATCACACACTGACACTCGTGTCTTCTCCATCAAAGAATAGGGGGCTAAAAGGCCCATGTCCACTTCTCACATTCACATGACACAGGATAAAACAAAGAGCAACTTACAACGCGGTACTCAACGACCCGTAAAACAGATTCATCTCCTCAGTCGGTCCCTCAGGATCAACCGCCCTGGCCCAGAGGAACTCGCGCGCCTTGTCAACTGCGGCATCAATGCGATCATGGAGGCTAGGGAAGAAGGGGCGTAGGGAAAGGAGGGAGAGGACGAGACCTTGCGGGCCGGAGGCGAAGCCGCGGGATCGTGGTTGTGATGCTGCTGCCGCCGCTGTTTCTGAGGGCTCTCGTTGTGCTGGTGTTGGCGGTGCGTCTGAGGATTGTTGTGCATCGCTTCGAGGAGGTTGCGAAGGTGAGGTGGACGATGGTCCCGGCCAGTCGCCGTTGGGAGACTGGAGGTCTAGGAGGGCTGCGAGGCGGGATGTCAGGGACGGAGAGGCGGCGAGGGGAGGGGACGTGAGAACGAGTTGGGTTATTATGCCTAGGTCGCCGTGAGTTGTGCCGTAGGTGTCTTCTGGTGGCGGCGGTGGTGACGAATGAGGTGGCTGTGACGACGGCGGTAATCGTGAGGGACATGTCCAGGGATGTGGGCCGAGAAGGTACTCTGACACGTGGACTATCGCGCCGCAGACGAGGGGCGCGGAGGAGGGGACCCAGTGGCGGATTAGGCGGAGGAGGTAGAGTGTTCCTGCGAGGCCGTGGAGGAGGCAGCTTGGCAGGGGTGGTGTTGTCGTTGTTGTCGGTTCTGGGGCGTCTAGGTCCATTACTGTGGAGGAGTTTGTCGTCTGTGCTGAGGCGGACGAGGAGTTGGCGTTTGCGTTGGAGGAGACGATGTATTCCAACACGGGAGAGAGGATGGCGAGAAACTTGCGGACGTGGAGGAGGTCTTTCGTCACGCAGGCGCGGATGGCGGAGCCGGCTAGAGCATCGGAGAGGAGGCCTAGGACGGGCGTGTCTCGTGCTGTCTCTTGTGTACTAGACGGCAAAGATATCGGGGCGGACGGGGTCGGGATGTTGGAGATGTAGGCGCGGGCCCAGTGGATGGCCGGGTAGGAGTGGATCTGGAGGCGGGGGTGGTGTGCCGAGACGGAGAGGAAGAGGTAGGCTGTGCCGGTGTGGGATGTCGGGAGGCCGGTGAGGGTTGCGGGCGGGTGGGTTGATTGGGGCGGGGAGAGGGAGAGGGTTTTGGAGAGGTGGGTTAGGATTTTGGTTGTTTGGGTCGAGGGGTCGTCCATTGTTTTGTTTTTTGGAGTTTAGAGGTATTGGGATGAGTTGACTTAAGTTGTATGAGATGAGGTATTGGTGAATGAGGTGTGTGAGTAAGTGGATGAGTGAGTAAGTGGGTGAGTGAGATGTGATGTGTAAGACAAGTGAGATGAGGTTGCGCGACTCTCGTGGAGCTTGGGTAAGGTGAGGTGCCTTGCTTTCAGCTGTGGTCGTGTGAGGTCGGTGTAAGGCGGCGGTGACCGTTCCGGGTGCGGGGGGCAGGAATGCGGGGTTGGAGGCGGTGGGAGTCGCATGCCGCACCCAGGGTGCCAGGCACTGACACCCAGGGGCTCCCGGGGGGAGGTTGGGGGAGCCGCGGGGGTTCGGATCGTCGTGGCGGGGACACGCGCGGGCTTGGCCCTGGGGTTCGGGGCGTTGAAGTGGGGCTCTGCTCCGTGGATGAAGAAGCGTGGCTGTTAGGTTACTGTTTATCACCGTGGGCAAGGCCAGCCATGTTTTGTGATTGCCATTCGGGTGATACTTGATCCTCGGATGGGCTGTGTAAGTACGAGGCCGATGGGTACATAGTGCGTCTTTCTGGGTATTTTGGTAGAGAGATGCTGAGTGCTTGGTTCCAGACTTGGGACTTCACCGTCATCGTTGTTATAAGTATATATGATGCTGGGCCTTTGATGAAATCTATGAGTACGAGGGAGTATTTTTCTCTTAGTATTTACTTGAAGGTTTCGAATCAAGTATAAGGCTTTTACTGTACTTGACTTTCATTATGAGTTGAGTCGCCTTGCAATGAGATGGCGTCGAGCATATGAACATGAATTGCTGAAACTCTGCTGCTTAAAAAGTAATCATGAATTTGTATTGCATTGGCATGATTTTTACATTTCGGCATCCAAGTATGAGTAGCCTACCGTACGCTCTCTTACATTAATGTTCATAGTTTCGGCTTTTGGTTTGTCTGTGACTTCCCCTCACTCAGTGATCTACATTCGACAGGAACCATATTAGCGTCAGGAGGTAGTCACAGAACATTATATCGTCTGTGAGTGTGCAGCTTCAGTACAGTCTCATAATTGCTCAAGCATTTCGTCTCGGAAGGAAAATTTGAGATGTCGTTGGGTGATTGGAAGATGGTTGATAAGTGAAGGTGTAAAGAACCACAGAGCCGTCCACAATGAGGCATACTACACGCTAGACCGTCAATGAATCTCGCTTGTAAAATCCCACACATCAAGATGCCAGTAGCGACGGAGGCATCTTTCAACAGCTCTTGATTATCAAATCGCAAGACAACTTGCAGGTCCGAGATTCGCGAGCTGCATGTCTCACATGGATTCATCTGAATACACCATGCGGGGTTACACTTCTTCGGGAGACGTCGGCCGAGGCGTCCGCCACCACCACCATGGCTTCGAACACACGACATAAGAGTCAATCTCACCTCTTTGAACCTCAACTCATACAATCCAAACCTCTCACATCATCACATAGCAGGCCCTCCAAAGTCAACATACAAACTTACCTGCAACCCACAAACATGTCCGACCCGCTCCCAAAACTAATCACCCTAGAAGAACACTTCGTCGCAAAAGACCTCTTCACAGAACTCTCCGACATATACTCAGAACAACTCAAACACCTCCCCGAGGTCTCATCCCGCCTCCAAGACGTCGGGCCCCTCCGCCTCGCCAACATGGACGAAACCCGCATCAGCCTGCAAATCGTATCCCACGCGCCCGGCCTCGGCCCCCGCGCCCCGCACCTAAGCCGCCTCGCAAACGACCACCTCGCGGCCGCCGTCCGCGCCAACGCCACCCGCTTCGCAGGGTTCGCCGCGCTACCGATGGCCGAACCGGACGCCGCGGCGACGGAACTGCGGCGCTGTGTCCGGGAGCTGGGGTTCGTTGGCGCGTTGGTGGACGCGCATGTCGACGGACAGCACTACGACGACAGACGCTTCTGGCCCGTCTTCAAGGCGGCGGCGGACCTCGACGTGCCGGTGTACTTACACCCTACTTACCCCTCCGAGAGCCAGCGGCCCGCGTACGAGGGGAACTTTGACCCCGGCGCGGCGCGGAGTATGGGATCCAGCGGGTTCGGGTGGCACTCTGAAACGGGACTCGCCGTGCTCAAGCTCTTCGCCGCGGGACTCTTCGACGAGTACCCTTCCCTGAAAATCATCATTGGGCATTTCGGAGAGATGTTACCCTTCATGATGGAGCGCGTGGAAAAGCTCTCGGTTCGGTGGGGTCCGCGGCGGCGCGGGTGGCGGGAGGTGTGGGAGGGCAACGTGTGGGTTACCACGAGCGGGGTGTGGGGTCTCGCGCCGCTGGCGTGCGTGTTGAGGAACACGCCCGTGGAACATATTTTGTATAGCGTCGATTACCCGTTTGAGAAGAACGAGAACGGGCTCGCGTGGGTGAGGGAGTTGAGAGATAGTGGGATGGTGACGGGGGAGCAGCTTGAGATGATTGCGTTCCGGAATGCTGAGAGGTTGCTGAGGGTTGAGGCGCCGTGATGGTGCGCGGGCGGGAGTGTACTGCTGTGTAAGTGGGTGACTGGGAAGTGGTCTCGAGGGGAGATCGAGTCTAGTTTCGTTCTGGGACACACACACCACCGGTCCACACACTTGGTTCGACTTTGAGGAAATCAAAAGACCCCGTTTCCCTCTCCATCCATCACGATCGCGAGTCGTGACTGGCCAAGACCCTCCCATCTCCACGGCCCCGTTCCCCTCCCACAATTATCGTCTCTCCCCTTCCGCCCCGCCCACGATGCCCTCTCTCGCTTCTTGGTACCACCCACCGCGGCCGTCTGTACACAAAATCGTCTCTATGGCTCAGTCGGTAGAGCGTTGGTCTCATATCAAATACATATGACGCCGGGAAACATCCTGGGGGTTATCCAAAGGTCGCAAGTTCGAGCCTTGCTAGGGACATTAGATTTTGCTGGATGTGAAAACGGTAAATTCTTTTGGCAAGAGCATGTTCTGGCAGAGTGTATGCGAATGCCCACACAGCCTGGGTCATATCCTGGTATCTGAACGAACAATCTCATGGGAACTACGTTGTCACATCGAGTAGCCTTTGGAACACACTTGCAATTCGATCTCTGGTCAACAGAGCTGGTGCAACGAGTAGTCAGTTTGATAATGTTGAACGAATTTTGCAAGTGTGTCTGTCGACTTGGTTCTGAACCGCAAAAGACAACTCCCCCATGAATTTGAACAACCTTCATATTTTAATTTCGCAGCAACCATTTGTCATGCTGTGATCCTACATACAACTATGTAGCAACAATGTGCCACTGCATATTGATCTCCCTGAGCATTTATCCGTCACCTTGACCTTCCAAGCTTTCCACTTTGCAAACTCGTGTGTTTATGGAGTGGGCCCTCTCCGACCCCGCAGCACACAAACTCACTCTCACCTCAACGCCACACCTAAAACCCCCAAAACACTGAAAATCGCAACCCACGATGAAGACCGGGCGCGTATATTACCACAAGAAACAAAAGAATTGCGTCGAGGGGGAATCGAACCCCCGGCTCCCCGACGCTGCTGGATGGCAACGGAGAATTTTACCACTAAACCATCGACGCTTAATCAATTGAACTCGTGATTTGAGATGCGGAAGAGAGCTGGGAGTGAGATTATCATTAGAGTGGGTGGAGTGAGGTTTAGGGCTGGAGACTGGAGTTGGCGTTGTGTCAATGTGGAAAATGGGGCCGGTTTTGGGTCCGGAGGGTCCGGACTACCGTGTTCGGCCGGGATAGGGATGTTTCCGACGGCGGGTCAACTTGTGAGGTTGGAATCGTTCTGAGGCCTGACGTGTTTGGGATAATGAGTTCCAGGTACTTTCAGAGGCTGTTGCATATTCCCGAGTTAGCTCAGTTTGAGAGCAACAATGTATGTACTTCATCCTATCAATCAGGGTCAGCTGCGTCTTAATTAGCGGTGGAATTCTACGTTGAAAAGGCTGGACAAATTGTCTTATATTCGATATCCCATCTCATTGTAAATTAGGAAAGGTATAGTCTACTCTAAGATGCCTTCACTGCTGTCTTCATCTTTTGAGAACGCGTTCGACGATTTCTTGTCTCGGTCTGATTATCGTTATGGTTTCCAAAATTCAAATGTTTGCTAGACTTCTACTTGGTATGAGGGAAGACTTGGAGATCAATCTACCCGCGCCATCCCTCGCTCCGGAAATCGCCAGGCATGGAAAGAAAAGTGTGCCGAGCATTGAGCTTTGTGACAGAAGGCGGGTACCTGGAATCTGACATATGCCAGCATCAATTCAATTCAGATTTTCTTTTCGTAGAAGAGAATGAGACTGACTGAGAGGCAACAAGTGAATGATCGACTTTGACCACGACGAGCTGTACTCTCGATGCTCCTAGCAAGACGATCAGAGAGTTGAGCTACGTGTACGATGATCTCAATCATCTATCCGCAATAACGCGTCTTGGGTAGTAAAAAGCCGCAAGTACCCTCAACTTTCATAGCCGTCCATAAGCTGACGAGTGGGTGATCAAATAGGTTGCCGGTCAACACACGACTAGCCGCCTTCTTAGAGCCACTATAGCTGTTGTGATTACTAAATGCTTTTCAAAGCGTACCTTGTGAGGGATGAATGAGAAATAAGTAGTGATGAATAGGAATAGCAGTTTTAGAGCAAAGGCATTGAGCGGCAAACTACCGTGTCACCCATCCTCTCACGCATCATCACGACACCATATCCGGGATGGCCACGTACATCTCCAAGTCACAAAAGATCTGTTCAAGTCAAAGCACCTACAGATAAAGCAAGCCACTTGGTTTTCCACGTCAGCTTCTAGCGGAACACTCCTCACACTATTCACCCCACCAAGCCCACGACAGCTCCAAATCAACAAACCTTACCTTCCATACTCTACCCCATACTCGAAAGGAGAATGAAAATAGAAGCGCGAGCTTCGCGGTATACTCCCCACAGCGTAGACCTTATCCTCATCTCATCCAAAAGACGCTGGCACCAGTACGTGTTCCCTACTTCTGTAGGAGGATGCCGTCGTAGCTGAAATGAGTTTGATGAAAGAAAGACTAAAACAAAACTGAAGAAAGAAAAACGTGGAAACATTTCAATCTTCTCCGCGTTGCATGCTCACAATATAACGTAGCTTCATATGTGACGTGATGGGAAACTCAAGTCTGAGAATACTCGGCGAGGCATCTCAAGAGAATCATATACACTTCTTACCTTTCACTCGCAAAAGACACCTCCAGGCCACTCGCGCTCCCAAAGATTCTGTAAAGGAGCACAGCGATAGGCCACGGCGAATACTGAGCATGCAATGCAACCACGAGAGCATTCGAATCGTCTACAGACCCATGCAGGACAGAACGCCATGATTCGCCGATCAAAACCCCGCTAGATGCGGGCAGACAGCCGACGTCCGCTCCGCACTCAGAGGCCAGCGGCGCACGCGACAAGCGCACCTCTGCCCTTTCACCTCTCTCGGTCAGCGCCGTCGGGCCAGATTAATAAACCATGTCACGGCGGAAGCAACGCAAGTAACGCACGCTACCCGCGGCATATTGCCGATAATTAGGAACCAGAGCCGTGAGGGGCGGATAACCACACAGAATACGGACCGCAATCAGAGATACGAAGACAAAACCCCCATCAAGGCTGGAACAGGCAATCCCGTGCGGTTTCGTGGGGGTGGGTGTTGAGTTTGTGATTCCATTAGAGTCGAGACCGAAAACCCGGGTTGACTGGGGTCGGAGAGGTGTCAGGGATGGGGGTAGTTCGAAGGAACTCTACTGGCTGGGTTAATTCGAGCATCCCGTTCCAGACTTGGAACCTTGACAGCCCATCCGCCGTTGCTCCTGCGGCCTGCAACTATACTTATTCTAGGTTGGAGGGCTGACTAGATGTAGGCCTCGCAAAGTTGAGTGAGGTGAGTGAGACGCGCCCGGAGACGCTCAGATCATCGTCAACTTCAGACGGTGCGGCACCGTGGAGCACCTGACGCGGGGCCCCGGTACTGAAGGTCTGCTGCGACTGCTGCAAGCTTGCTGGACCGGGGAGGAGGAATGAACACCTTTGAGTCGGGCTGACGAAGGTATAAGAAGCTTGTCGGGCCTGCCATGCATCTCCCGCGCGGACGAACCGGACATGTCACGATCTCCACGATTTGCGGCCCAACAGATTGCTGCAGTTGACTAATCCGCGTCCCAACCGTACGACGTATTGCCGCATTGTCTACCAGACATCGCACCATAGACGAGATTTGGCCGACGGATGAAGCGGAACAGACCAAGACACTGCCGGCGCCAGTATTTAAGAGAGTGTCCCCCTCCGTGATCCCCTCCTCTTACGTCGCTCAGCGGCCTCTTTACGCATCACAGTCGCAACAACGGCTCTCCAACAGATAGGTGTGCATCATTTATGTGTGTGTAGCGATTGTTTGCCCAGCCGTTCTCCCCGCGCTGCAGAATTACTTGGGTGTGTGCGTGTGAGTGCTGTGTATCGACGCAGTGTTTGTTGGTGTGGACGAGTAGCCGTGGTGCCCCCCTCCCCAAATCCCCGCATTCTGTTTACCCCTCGCGCCCCGCCTCGCGACATTCTTCCCCCGACTTGGCCGAGTTCCGTCGTTTTCTCCGCCGGCCGTCGACTCTCGAGTCCAAGGTCACACCCCCGCTGATCGATCGGCTCTAAGCAGACGCTCCAGCTTCGCCAGGCCGACGGCCGAGTCCGCGGGACACACTTGGGTCAGCCCTCCGCCGAGCACATTTTGCGAGCAAAAACTTCACCACCTCCGCCATCGACGACGAACCCTTCAAACGCGTCCAACGAGCATCATGTGGTCCAACAAGCGTTCTTCTCCCCCCGCGCCCGGTAGCCCAACCGAGGTGGAGGCTCCTGCGCCCGTATCCTCCAGACAGAAGAACCCCGGTCGTCGCATTGCCCAGATTGTGAAGCTCAAGCCCGAGTTCATCGACAAGTACAAGGAGGTCCACGCCAACGTCTGGCCCGAGGTGCTCAAGCAGATCAAGGAGTGCAACATTGTCGACTGTAGGTCATCCGCCGGTGTCGGCCCCAACACGGCAGACTGCGAATCCCGATGTCGGGTGACTTTTCAAAGCTGACTTTCAACAGACAGCATTTGGCACGAGCCCGATTCACGTATTCTGTTTGCGACCATGAAGTACGTCGGGTACGACTTTGCCGGAGACATGGAGAAGATGAAGGAGAACCCCAAGGTCCGCGAATGGTGGGCCATGACCGACGGCTGGCAAGAGTCTCTGGTTCCCGGCGCGGTGAGCAGTGAAGCAGGCGAGCCGGCGTGGTGGAAGCCCGTCGAGGAGGTGTTCTACACGCCTTGAGAAAGAGAGAGAGAGAAGTTTGGTGGGATGAGGGGATCGAGTGTATTGCATTATTAGTCAACGACCAGCCGAATGATGAGCGTTTCGTTTTGATCACGTTCGGTGCCCTTGTCTGCCTCGTGCTGCCAGATGCACCAGACACATGGTTTTGCTGGAAGTATGCCCGATTGGTGACCCAGCCGAGCGTCCGTCTTGATCATTTGAAACCACCAAACAATCCTCCAAAGACGCCGCCGGATCCTCCGCCTCCTCCGCGCTGGCCGTGCCGCCGAGCCTCAGACCTGATCCACTCTTCGAGGAAAGCGCGGTCTGTCAGCTTCTTGGCGTCGTGAACCTTGGTCTGTATCTGGGCCTCTTGGTTGTCGAAGCTTAGCAGAGTCGGGATAGAGGTGATCATGTAGGTCATGCCTAGTCCTCCGCTCATGACGTCGGGAGAGTCGAATTCGACGGTGCAATAGCCAACGCCGCCCTCTGCTTCACCGACACCAGACTCTACGATGGACTGTATTAGAGGGGCAACGACTCGACATGTCCCGCACCAAGACGTGGTCCACAGTGTTATCAGTGGTGTGCGAGAAGAGGAAGAGAGGAGTTGATAGGTGTGGAAGTCGTCAGGACGGCGAACACTGGCACCCGAAGCAGAGGTTAGCGGACGGGTGCTTTCGAGAGGAGAGGCCAGGGCAAGGATTGGACAGAGAGGTTGGAGAATCTGCGGTGGCCCACTTACGATGCGTAGATCTGGTTTTTGGCCGGGCTGGTACGAGACGTGGAGAAGTGGGCAGCGGCGGCAGAGATGGAATGCTTGGGGGGCGGAATACGGACGCCATTGGTGAGGTTACTGTTGCAGCCCCGGAAAGTGGTGCGGGCGGTATGTCTTAGCAGTTGCATGGTGATTTTACTGCAGGATATGGTATGGTGAATGTCGATTATCTTGTCTGGTCTGTTCAGATGCCAAGGATGTATGCAGCGTGCTGCCGACTGACGTCGTTGAAGATGATCCCGTGATGTGTCGTGATGCGAGTCGCGCCGCTGAGATGCGACAGAATTCTTGGACAAGAACGAGTGGAGGGCTGCAGGTGGCAGTTGCGGGAGTACCTGTGATATGGAGCAAGCTAACAAAGATATCTTTGGAGCCAATGGTTCGATATAGCACAGGGTGGTGGTAGTGGATGGATGGTTATGTAGCTTCAACGGTTTTCCGAGCAGCTGGACAGCTTAGTCGAGATTTTAGGTAGGTAGGGAGGGAGGAAATATTGTAGGTAGTATTACTTAAGGCTGGTAGCTGTTGTCAATGATGGGAAAATCCGACGTTCATCTGGAGGTTCGGTCGCCATCGAAATCAACAGGAGGTGCACCTTCCTTCCTGGCAGACGGCGCTGTCACGCTCAAACCACGGTAGGCTCCATTGGGGAAGGCGGTGTAGGAATATATGGGGTCAGACCTTGTCACGCACGCGGCACGATGACGTTGAGGCTGCATGACATAAGCAAGATTCTGCAGGGCTCTACCTCAGGCTTCAGCGAAGCACAGGGCAGGCACGGGCAGGGAAGGAGTCGAGGACACCAACGGCAATTGCGGTAAGGTAAGGTAAGTGCAGGTGCATTCCGTTCTGGGCGCCCAGACATGGCGCCTGCTGTTTTTTGTCTTCAGCTTCGCACTCTGACTCTGCCCAGACTTGCCAGGTACGGAGTACTGTACACCGCAAGGTAAGGAAGGTACATCGTATTCTGTAGTACTTCATGCTTGGCGAAGGAAGGTTCCCAATTAATTGCTCCTCGTCTTGTTTTCCGTCAACCACCACTCAGCCGCATTTTAATCGCGGCGCAAGACCAACGACAAGACTCTACATCAGACACGCGCCCTTTACCCAACCTTTCTCTATGCGACGGGCAGGCCGCAGGATAACACACGAGCCTGTCCCTCCATCACGAATCTTACCATGCCATGGGGTCGGTCTCACGTTTTGGAGGGGGGAACAAGAAAGCTCCCTTACTGCGTACATCCGAGCCCGAGGTCAGCAGAGACGAGCAAAACATGTAGATGGTGCCCATGATGGTGGTGGTGGTGGTCTGGCACCGCTCGGGTTGCTCCGAGACCCCAAGACATCAATTCATAACTTCTACTGCGTACGTACGCTACCTGCCCATTTACAAACTCTCAACTTTCGGTGACTTTCTGCATAGTAGATGAAGCTGAGGCCCATCCGCACTGTCGACAACGTTACTGTGTAGAGCCTCCCGTTGCCCGCACAGCGATAGGTACATGATGGATCATGAAAGCTGGATTATTGGATATCCCTTGGTTGATGGATCTGGTGTCACCGCCCTCGCCAGTCGCCACCATCTTGGACCGCTGATTCACATGGTCCAAGTGGAGAAGATGCGACCAGCACCTGAAGTCTCCCTGTCACCCACCCAGTCACCCACGGACTTGTGAGCAAGGGGTTTTAGCCTCGCTTTTAGGGGTCCTGCCATCCGGGGCACTACTTGGCTTTGTTGCAGACGCGTATTGGCTGTGGGCGGCATTTGGAGTTGGACATGTGGCCCTTTTTCCTCACCTCCTTTGTCCACCAAGGCTATCGCCAGTCTCCAAGTGCCTCCCAAGCGCCCCCCCCGCAGGCGCATCTGCTGCATATGGCCTGGTGCCCCCGTGCCAGTACTACAAGTATGTATGTACAAAGGTGGAAGTACGTACTCCGTATGGATACCTACAACCTGCAGGCTGCGGGCTGCGGGCTGCCAGGACTGAGCAGAGACACCGCCGCCCTCGCCGCCAACGTCGTTTCCATGCTCGAATCCTTGATCCATCATCGCACTTTGCACGCACCCGCCAACGTCGAGTCACCTGCCAATCTGTCCAGGTTGCGTCGAGTCTATCCAGTGAATGAAGGGCCGTCTCGAGTCTCTCGACCCCTCCAGTTGCTCAAAAAATTCCCCACGGAACCCGCCCGACGCGACGCACCTGGCACCCACAAACAGAAAACCCCACCAGCTGATTCTGCGAGCCTGCAAGCTACTACGACTGCGTACGAATACGGTCCTATTGGTACTTTAGTACGGATACCTTGCCATACCGCTGATGCTCTGCTGCTGCTGCTGCTGCTGCTGCTGCTGCTGCTGCTGGGCATGAATTGCATCTCGTCTTCCTTGCCTCCTGTGCGCGGTGCTTGACTCGGTGGCCGGCCAATCCTGACAACCAAGCGCCGATATCTCATTTCCATCCCATGTTCCATTCCCCCAGACTTGCGGCTTGCGGCTTTGCCAGGGCACGATAACATTGCGTCCCTCTTCGCGCCTGGGCAACATAAAGCTCGAGGTTCATCCTTGATCTCATGGTCGCCTGCCCCTACGTGAGACGCAGCCCCCCCTCGCTCTCTTAATCACAGTCAAACGGCGCGTTACCAGTCTGACACCATCCTTCTGCACGGACCTGGATAGTTTCTCCTCTCTCCCACTGCGCAGTGCGCCCAGCCCATCATCTGCCATCGAGGTTGGCCTCACAATAACGACATCCAAACGCTATTTCCATCGACAGCTTCGTTGCGCCAACACCTTTTCTACCCCATATCTTCCGCCTCTCCCTCTTCTCCTCCTCCAACCAAGGTCTCTTCCTAGACTTGTTGCTTTTCACCGTCTCCGCATACATCGCCTCGCACCGGCGCAGGGCTTTCCAGAAGAATTTGTGTTTCTTCCCAAAGCGCATAGTCGTACTGCCTCGGCATCTTCCTTCATCCGGCTCTTGGACATCTGCAACCTTATCTCATCTTCTTTGGATGCACGGTCGAACCAGACAGACTACCTTATGCTCGACCGATCTTAGGACAAATTTTCTGTCGACCCCTCGTGCCCAACGACACCCTCCTTTCACCTCATCCTTCTGCTCGTCCATTTCTGTTTTGGTTCTTCTCCCTTACCCAACAACAACAAAATCCGCATAGCTTGCCGTTGTAGTAGACCAAAGCGACAGCAAACAGAGTTCCTTGGCCCTGCCCCGCCAAACCTGGCTGGGAAGACATCCTGTGGAACGCTTCAAAATGGCGGGCGTCCTCACGTGGAAGAGTCGCTTCGGTGGCATCTTTGGGAACAAAACTAAATCCGACAGTGCCGAAGCCACAGATGACGAGAATACCAATATTCCGAAATGGAGTATGGGTGTTCTCAACGACCCCAAAACGATTGAAGTCCCTGGTAAGCAATCAACCAACCCCCTTTCCGGTTTCCGGCCCATACCAAGGCCACCAAGTTGACACCCTGCAGGTTCTGTGCTTCTCCTCGCTGCGCATCGCAACGAGCCACTCGGCTTACGCAACGCGCCCGCAAGGACTTCCCACTCATCCATCCCCACTGGTTTCCCGGAGCCGGTAGACACACCGACCGGCCGCCAATCTCCAGCCAACGCGGCCCCACCTGAGCCCGATGCAAAGACGACCAAGGACGGAATCATCCTCAACCCTCAGCCTGAAGAGTCTGCAAACGACCCTCTCAACTGGCCTTCATGGCGGCGCGATTGCGCTCTTCTGTCTCTTGGTTTCTACTGCATGGTTGGTGGTGGCATGACTCCCTTGCTTGCCGCTGGCTTCACCAATGTCGCCGAAGACTACCACATTGAGACCGAGACAGTCTCCCTAACTACTGGTCTGTACATGATGGGCATGGGTCTCGGTTCCGTCATCTTTTCTCCCACGGCTATTCTGTACGGAAAGAGGCCCGTCTACCTCTTCAGCTCCATCATCTTCATCCTCAGCTCTGTGTGGGCAGCCCTGTCACCAAACTTCACCTCTCTCATCTTGGCTAGAATCTTTCAGGGTATTGCAGTCAGTCCCGTGGAGTGTCTTCCCTCCGCCACCATTGCAGAAATTTTCTTCCTTCATGAGAGAGCGTTCCGAATCGGCATCTATACACTCCTGCTGCTTGGCGGCAAGAACCTCATCCCCCTCGTCAGTGCCCTCATCATCCAAGGTCTTGGATGGCGTTGGACTTTCTGGTAAGCAGTCAACACGTACGGATACCACAAGACTGCATCGCTAATATTTCGACAGGATTGTTGCCATGATTGTTGCCTTCTGTGGCGTGCTTCTGTTTCTGTTCGTGCCAGAGACCTTCTGGGACCGAACACCGCTCCCCAAGTCACGGAAGCCGTCCCGCAGACCGAGCTTTACTCGCCGATTCTCATCACGCCATCACGTTCCTCAGGTCCGCAGCGCTCATGAAGATGCTGTTGTAGCTCCCACAAGTCCTACGCCACAGTCGCCACACGTTGCTTCGCATCCGCACAAGGACCTTCACGTTGGATTTGCGCCAGACCCAAACGAGAAAAAGGATGACAGCATCGACAAGCAGGTGAAGGACGTCAAGGATGAGACGCCGGACTCTTCCAACCCGGTGCCCGTCTCGCGGACGTCTGGCGCGTCCGGCACACCCACCTCCGGATCGGATTATTTCCACAACGCCCCAGCTATCGAAAGCGAAAAGTTCAAGATGCAAGCTTCCGACGTCAACTCACCGCCAAAGGCCCTGGCCTACACCCACACCCTCCGCCACCAGCCCGCGAAATCCTTCACCGAGCAGCTCAAGCCCTGGAACGGCCGCCTGAACCACGACAGCTGGTTCAAGGTCATGCTCCGGCCCTTTGTCCTCTTCGCCTACCCCGCCGTGCTGTGGTCCGCCGCGGTCTACTCCCTCTCCGTCGGCTGGCTCATTGTCGTCTCCGAGTCGGTCGCCTTGATCTACCGCAACCGTGAGTCGTACAACTTTGACGCCCTGCAGACGGGTCTCGTCTACCTCTCCCCCTTTGTCGGAGGCATCCTCGGCACCGCCGTCGCGGGGAAAGTGAGCGACATCATCGTCAAGGCCATGGCCCGCCGCAACGGCGGCCTCTACGAGCCAGAGTTCCGCCTCGTCATGGCGGCGCCGGTGCTCGTGACCACCGTCATCGGCCTCATGGGCTTCGGCTGGTCCGCGCAGGAGCGAGACCACTGGATCGTGCCGACCATCTTTTTCGGCCTCATCTCGTTTGGCTGCACGCTGGGGTCCACGACGTCCATTACCTTTTGCGTCGACAGCTACCGGCAGTACGCGGGCGAGGCGCTCGTCACGCTCAACTTTAGCAAGAACATCTTCCACGGACTCGTGTTTAGTCTGTTTGTCACGCACTGGCTTACCTCGGACGGACCCAAGATGGTGTTTATCTGGCTGGGCGTCATTCAGCTCATTTTCCTGTTTGCCACGGTTCCCATGTTCATCTACGGGAAGCGGGCGCGTATGTGGACCGTGAGGAAGAACTTTATGGAGAAGTTCTAGAGGAGCATTGTCCTTTGTCTTTTTTTCTTTTCTCTTTCTCCCTCATATTTTTCTGCATGGAGTTGGAGTTTAGGGGATCTACATTTGCATTTGCATCGCAGCGTCTTACAAGTTTTGTCCACCACTGGATGAGGTCTCCCAACGAGTCGGGTAGCATATTTTACGTGGGAATGAGGCCCGGGTATGCATTTATTGGATGGGTTGGATTTTGACGACTTTTGCATTTTCCCCCTTCCACTTTGAAACCGGGGCTTTCTGCATGGCCCCTTTTTATGACAACATTTGTTCTCATGATACCTTTAGAGTTTTATATGACCTAGAACAAGATCCAGAAGGAAGAAATCAATCGAATCTAGATGAAATCATCTTCCTGAGGTTTTTGAAAGTTTAATGACACTCAAACGCTCGACCTCCTCCCTGTCCGACACAGTATCTTACATCCCAATTCTCACATTGAGGCGAGCGGTACGCAATGAATTAAGAGGGAACAGTTCACGAGGCACCGCACGGAGAAGACCGCGTTTGGAAGGATGGATGGAAGAGCAAAACTGACTATTCTTTTACTCCCCTTTTTATGGGAAAAGAATGATAGACGGTGTAGATCTACCTTGGATAAAGCGAAAAAAGAAAACCAAGCACTGCGACAAGGAGAATCATGACTGAATGTCCAAACCCTACCCCTTCCCCCTTCCCCCCTCTCATTTTTTTTTTCAAATCCAACAGAAATCTAGTAAGCTACCCGTCTTCACCACCTCGCCAAGGTACGCCGATATCCCATCAGCCGAAATCGATCACGACTCGCAAGTGAGTGAGAGAGAGAGAGAGAGAGAGAGTCGAGCCTGCTTCTCACCTCCCGCTCTGGGGCATTAGGACTGCGGCGGTTGCTGCTGCTGCTCGTCGTCGCTACCCGAGCCCGAGCCGGTGGCTTCCCGAACAATGAGCCCGCCAAGATACTGGTGAGAGGGGCTGTCGGCGACCTGGGACATGAAGCTGGTTGACGTCGTTGAGGATTCTTGCTCCCCTCCTTCTCCTTCTTCCGCTGCGGCCTTGCGCGTGGGTGAGCCGGGGGAGATGTCCTGGGTGGCGCGGGCCTGGCGCGGGCGTGGGCGTTGCGGGATCGAGGCATCCCGGGCACGTACATCCTCCCGTTCTCTTCGACGTCATAGCATCTCCGCATAAGCCTGCTCTTGATCAATCTGAAGAGAAAAAGTTGGCAAATGAAAAACTTGGGAGGCGCATTTTTGGTGGGAAGGGGGTGCGGGGTGAAGGGTTCAACGGGACTTACCTCGGTCACGGTCTCCACGTCTAGTTGAGGTTCTCCCTCGTCCGAGACGTCAATTTTATCATCTTGTTCCCCGGGTTCTTCTTTTTCTTCCTCGTCACTGTCAGAGACCTCCTCTGGGTATACGGTATAATCTGGGTTGCTGTCTTGCAAAGGACCGAAGCAGTCCACGAGCCAGTCGTCAAAGGACTTTGCGGTGGTGGCAGCAGCCCCCTGGGTGGTCGTTGTCTCTGGCCATGCTTTGCCATCATCCCATTCCTCAGGGATCCAACCGAGGAATTGACGCATCTTACCGCGTATACCGAATTGTTCCCATGGGTGGGGGGGCAATTTCATATGGGCAAAGTAGGCTGGTACCCCTGCCTTGCCAGCTTCGGTGTGCTCCCAGACGTAGGAGAACAGGTGGTCCAACATGACGACTCTGGGCGTCGGGAGATCAAGGCCGTTGTTGCGGAGAGTGAGGAAGACGTTGCGAGGAAAGATGTCGGGGACGGACACGCCCAGATGCATGCACACAACGATCTGACCGAGGAGGCTCTTGATGGCGTCCAAGCATACTTGGCGATCCAGCGGCAGCATCTTGGCCTGGCCCTTGCCCTCCGCTTCGTGATCGCTATGAAGCGAAACATCCCTGCCTAGCGGCGGCTGGAGGTATCCGGTGTTACGGTCGCGAGTGCACATGGCCTCAATCGAAAGGCCTTCAATGTGCTCGATGAGAATGAGGCCGACCCAGGCGTCCGGGGACGAATCGCTGTTCAAGGCCTTGCGGTTGGTGACCCAGCAGCCATAGTATTGAGCAGTCATGTGAGGGTGTCCGGACTTTCCTTTCTCGTAGAGGAACCGGTACACCGCGGCCTCGCGGCAGAGCTCGCTGTACGCGACGGTGGCGTCGTCAAAGGGGGGTTCGTTGGCCAGGTCGAGTCCGCCGCGCATGGGATAGAGCCGGGGGTCGAATACCTTTGCGACGACGAAGTTGTCTGGTCGCCTTACCTTGCTCTGTCTGGGGAAACTCGGAAAGGGTGCGTGCTTCTTGACGCCGTCGCGGTCCGTAGGTGCTTGAACGACCTTGCAGAGCAGAATTTGAGAGCCGACGTCTCTGCCGGCTCGCAGCGGCTCCACGATCTTGAGCTGAGGCTTCTCCGGCTTGAGCTCCTCCGCTGTGGGCTGGAGCGAGCGCGGTTGGTATTCGTCTTGGAAGGGCGGGAACTTCCCCGAGCCAAATGGCTCCCATGGGTGATGGGGTACGAGGTCGAGCTTCTCTCCGTGCGCATATCTCCTGGCGGCTGCGTTGCGGATGGCCAACTCATTCATGATGGGTAGAGCGAGAATAATGCCAAGGGCAAGTGTAAATCGCTTCGACAGTAGACGGTGATCACAAGGTGCGGAATAGTGAAAGGGAGAGAGGAGGGGAGAAGGCAAGAGAAGGAGAGCTGCTGGACGGAGATAGATAAACCTGACCGGACATAATTTGGTGGAGATGCCTGTGAACATGGACGCAAAACTGTGCTTGGAAGGTGGTATAAGCTGCAGGTGACGCCCAAGTCCTCCATTCCCGCTGGTTTTATCATGTCCTCGCGAAGAATCCATCAAGAAAGAATTAGAAAAAAAAGATTCAACGGGCAAATGTTCGCCGGCCGCTTTCAATTGTAATGGTTGGGTTTCCCGCATACGTACCAAGCTGCAAGATGCCATCCGGGTGGCTACAGAGGTGGTGAAGATGGCCATCCGCTGCATTCAAACCATCTCCTCTCACTACCTTGAGTACGAACGCGAAACAGAAACAAATCGAGTTCCATTGATAGAGCAAGAAGCAAGGAGTAGATGTGCCACCGACAGACCCAAGGGTGGAAAGACAATAATTGCCATTAGAAGCCCAAAGCGCGTACCCCAAGACTTGGCGGATGTAAGGGCTCCGGACCACAGAGTTCAGGTCCTCGAAGTGGAATCATCAGATACAGCTGTTCTCAGCAACATAGAGCGCAGCGTGATTGGCTGGACACTGGTGGTAGGAATAAGCCGCTGCTTGATGAGAAAGCTCCCCGGCTCCATTCATAAGGACAGCTGTGATGGAGGTCTTGCTCGAGGATTTTACCATTAGCTGTAGCTGCATCGCCGAATACGCGTGAGACAAGCGGCATGATTGAACACATGCAAAGGTATTGACGCCAGCATCGCCGTTCAGGCAGGCATGAGGATACAGTCTTTCTATTACTGATCTCATAGTGTCAGCCCTTGCTCAGCCTCTCGGTAGTAGATACGTACAACTTGATGGCACATCCAAAGAGGGACCCTTAATGACCGTTATGACTTTCTCGCCCTATTCTCAATACCTTCCTTTCCTCCAAGCCAAAGTCCGTCATATCTCCCTTCTTGTTTCCCTCCCCCTGAGTCAACTTTCGTTCTCTTTTTTCGAAGCTCAGTGAACCAGCTTACAGGTGACGCCGGCTTGTGGCTCATGGCCTTCTTTCAAATCTTCTCCTTACTTGCTTTTGGTCGTCTTCCGTCTTCTCGTTGCAGGCCCATGGGGATATCTGCGCGTGAGCGCCTGGAAGACGAAACGCGGGCGCAGGAACAGCAGCGTGTTTGAACGCGAAACAACAGGAAACAAGTATCCTTTCTTTGGTCCACAGAATGTGAAGTATGGTCATGCTAATGTGAATATATTGATCTGCCCCCGAATAAGGTAAGGTAGAGCGCATTTAATTTACTTCACCTAGCAGCATCCAGAGAACTCTCCTACTTCCCGCTTTGTGATGCCAAGGAAGCCGCGAAAGCGGCCCACATCATACTCACAAAGTTGGACGCATACCACAACCCGGCAAAAAGACAGACTCGCCCATTGATGCGCCGAGGGGGAATCGAACCCCCGGCTCCCCGACGCTGCTGGATGGCAACGGAGAATTTTACCACTAAACCATCGGCGCGGTTCGCTCTATCGAGTCTCTTGTGGATACGTGTTTGCGAGGCCAGGGCAGGATCATGTTGGGGATTGCGGATGTATTCTGACGAGAAACCAGACATCAAAAGGCAATTTTGCATTTTCGTGAGTCGCCCAGTCTCCGCCGGGTCCGCCGGACCCCACCACACCCACCTGTAAGGTGGGGTCGTCGCGGACCTGTAGTGCAGCCCTCTGGGGCCCGCTTCGGCGTTTGTGGATCGCGTTCCACCCGGGGCGCTGCAACACTAACACAACCTCGATCGGTGCTCCGACCGTGCTTGACTTTGATCTGACATCTTCCATCTGGCGACGAGGTAGCACGCCATCATCTCGACCTGACCCTTCTGTTACTTGAGACATGTCCAGTTCTACAGTTGTATATGTAAGTTATCTTATCCAGGCGTTCCGAGTAGCCATGCCATCAAATCACCATCCACTCCGCCAGCTTTAGGAAGCTCCGCCTCAGCATCACCTCGCATGCGTCGGTGGTCGTTGGGGAGAACCGGGTTGCACAAGGAGATCTCCCGCCTCGATCCCGCTGCTGTCCGGTAACTTGGGTCAAGAACCATAACACAAGGTTCCTCGCGCATGCATATATTGAGGCTCGGCGGGAAACTCAAGTCATCCTTCACCTCCCGTCGCGTCCCCTCATCGACGACCATCATTTCTGCACTTGTCGCCATTCGGCCCATCGTACCTGCCAGACACTCGTGATAGAATCAGGCCTGTGTCCGGTGTGTCATAATTACCTTCCCCAAGATACTCGCCTACGGTGTAGAATAGAGGTCTCACTCGTGTCGCGTGGACCACGTAATCCTAAAGCGAAAGTGAAGCTTAACAAAGTAGACGTGTCGTAGATCGTTGTGTTCCATCGCCGAGCTCAATCCTCCGGTAAAAAGGCTTGCATCCCCATCATCACTCCTCACATGCATCACTTGGTCTCGTGTCAAAGTTATTGATCAGGCGAACGTGTCTTTTATTCGCATTTCCTCAAAATCCGTCTGGTGTCGCGATTCCAAGCCGTCCCATGTAGTCCACCGGGTTTTCTCAATCCAGCACTCCTTCCTAAACCCCTCGTCTATCCCAAGCCGGAACCCGACAAAAACAGAAAGCCCAAGAAGACCCGCCAAGGAGAGAAGACAGTCCAACCAAAAGAGTGTCGAGTGTGCCCAGTGTACATGCATGTAGTGCTTCCTTAGAAGCCGAGGCCGTGCATGATGTCAGTCAGGCCGTTGTAGGTCTCCATGCTGGCTCTGGCCTGCATGTCGAGAAGCTGGCTGATGGTGGCCAACTCCTCCGAGATGTCAGCGGCAGCAGTGCCAACATTGTTGGCGGTGTCCTCCTCAGAGTCCTCCTGGCCAAGGTTGGCCAAGCCAGTGGTGCTCTTCTGAGCAGGGGCAGTCGAGGCATTGGCCTCCTCGACGCTCCGAAGGAACGCCTTGTCATGGTAGCGCTCGGCAAAGCGCTTGACAGACTGGCCCATGTACTCAATGTTGCGTGCAGTGCTATTGTATATCATTAGTTTGTATTCCTTCCCCAGGGATGCGGTTTCACACGTGAAGCCGCATGAGAAAATGGAGGATAAGAGTGATAAGTAAAAATGAGGAAAACTGTAGACCGTGAGAGAGCTACGGCTGATAGAAGCTCAAGAACTGGAGAGGTGAATAGATATGAGAGGAAATATAGACAACAAGAGGATGTGGTTTCACTCATAAAGCCGCATGAGAAAATAAAGAACAAGAGCAGTAAGTAGAAACGACAGAAATTGAAAACAAAGGAAACGGGAAAATTGACAGAAGGTGAGGTGATGAGATAATAAACAGCGCTGCTTACCGGTTCGCAACAAGCTTGTTGAGGGCGTCAGACAGCATCTTGACCTTGGCATCACGGTCGCGCTCGTAGATGTAGTCGGACATGCTGGCGCGCTTGATGCAGGTGGTGCGGAAGGCACGGTACTCGGAGAAGACCTTGGACTTGAGGGCTCTCTGCTCAGGAGTCTGGTTGGCGAGGTAGGTTCGAGTGCGCTGAGTGTTGGGGTTGGTCGAGTACTCGCCTCCCTTGCGGCGCGCGTCACCGTTTTCACCAGCCATTGTGAATGTCGGTATTGGGTGGTTTGATTGATTGAAGGGGATAGTTGGTGATTTTGATTGTCTGGGATCCGAGAAGTGAGGTATTCTCGCAGATGGGTTGTTGTGTGGGTGAAGAAGTGGAAGTGGTGGGTGGAGGAGAGAAGAAGGGAACAAATAAGTCGACCGGCAGGCAGAATAAATCTGGCGCGTCACCCAGGCAGTGAGATAAATGTACTCACAAGGAAGGTGCAGAAGGAAATAGAAGGAAGGAGAGATCGACTGCTAAAAGAGGGAATAAAAGAGTGGGATGTGAATAGTTGCACGTGTGTGGGCGGTGAGTGAAGCCTCAAGATGTTATTTTTCGCTACTTAGAAAAAAGCTGGTCATGTGATTGTAATATTCTCAAAGAAGGGCCTCCTAAAGAATAATCGATCCCTTCCTTCAATATAGCCCCTAAATACGGCAGGTACCTTGCGATTCCCAGACCATCTGAAGCTATGGGGTCGTCACTTGGGCCTTTCATGGTGCAGTGAGTGCCAACACCCAAGAGCCAGGCTCAACAAGGCGTCCCTACAACCACTGGAATTATCTCAAGCGAGATTATTGGATAGATCATTACATTAATGTAGACGAGGCCACCTGTCAGATGGATCTTAGCATCATTTGGTTGATCCTTTACCGATTTCATGAAGCAGCATCGCCATGCCTCAAAATCCCGAACCAAGATACCCGCCAAGAGACCACCCTTCAAACAACCACTTCAACCCAGACCCGAAACCTTCCCTCCGTCCTCAACCCCCAAGAACCCACCTCAACCCACAAACCATCTCCTCCTCCGCCTCGACGGCTCTCGCCAACCAAGGCGCCTTCAACCAAAACGTATGAGGCCACCCCATCACAACCTCAACCCTCACCTCGACACCCGCCCCCGCAAGCGCCATCGCATAACAAACACCGTCAGAGTACAGCGTATCATTACTACAAACCTGCACCCACGTCCTCGGCAGCGCAGCCAGCGTCTCCGCCTCGGCCTCAAGCGGCATCCTCTTCAGCCCGTCGCGCGGGACAGCGCGGGAGAAGACGCCCAACAGACTCGTGACGAAGGACGGCGAGGTGGAGGAGGTGTACGCGTGTCGCAAGGAGGGAGGCACATAGTCCAGAGAGCTCCCGCCGTCGCTGGTGACTGGACAGCGTAAGAGGACGCCGTGGAGGGATCCGCGGGGCGCGGCTTGCGAGACGGCGGCGGCGAGCTGACCGCCACTGGAGGACCCGACGATGATGAGCTTGGTTGCGGGGGACGGGTGGAGGGCGCGGATGTGGTGGAAGGCGTCGAGAGAGTCGGAGACGCAGGTTGAGGCCGGGGACGAGGGCATGAGTCTGTATCCTACCGAGTACACCGTCGCGCCCTCCAGGTCCTTGGCGATGCGTCTGCATGATAGCTCTTCGCTGTCTGCCTCGCCGACGTAGAGCCCGCCGCCGTGGTAGTAAATCACGACGATCTCGTCGCCGGTGGTGTTGTTGTCGGTGTCGTCGGTGTCGTCGGTGTCGTCGGTGTCGTCGGAGAAACGGAGGATCGGGATGGCGAACTGGTCTAGACTCGAGGGGGTTGTGAGTGGCTGTAGTGTGGTGTTCGATAGGTGGTGGTATGGTGCGCCGGGGGCGAGCATTCGGGCGTTGAGCTGTCTGCATTCTTCCGCGTAGACAGGCTGGCGGTCGAGGGATGATGAGTATGTCTTCTTTGGGCCTTTGGCTTTGACTTCTTCCTCGAACGCTAGCCAAGTAGGATCTAAGAGAGGTGCCTCTTTGAGGATGAGACGGTCTAAGGAGGTCATGTTGAGTGAGTGAGATGTATGTGATTCAATAAGGACAGAATAATTGAAGCGATCAAATGTAACAATTCGATAACGAGAGGCTCAAGAGCGAAGGTCACTACATTTGTACGCGGCTTTGGTGTTGAGATGCTTTGTGAGATGAGGTTAGACTCAAGGTCCGATAGTGGGGAAGTCGGGGCTTCCGGGCTGTTGTTGTCGCGACGAGATCCCGTTTATCCGGCCGTAGTTCCGGGGAGCCGGGCAGGTCGAGTGTGAGCTCAGCCCCGAGAACCAAACCAGGATATGTCAAAATCTCGGTACTCACCGCGTGCTTATGAAGTGGCCGGATACATAGCATATTGCTGGATGAGCCGTGCGAACGGTCACGCTGTTGGGCTTGGCGGCTCGGTGAACGGCCACCACTGCGGTTAGCGCCGAGGAGACAAACTCCGAACCGGAAAAATTCAACCGAACACCAGTATCCTTCAAACCGACTCTGCAGAGCTGGCGGCTCAGAATGAACGAGTACATCATAGGATGGGCAAGGCGCTTGGTACAGCAGGTCGATATTAATGTCCGCTGGGTTGATTCCCTCCCCTTGGACCGATCGCCTATCTACAATGCTAGAGTACACAAAGGGAATCGAAGAACGAACGCGTCTATAGCACGGAAAGATCGCCGAACTTCTCCTGTAGGGGGTATTAGTATGCCGAATCATATCGGGGTCGTGCTTTGAACGTACCTTGTATCCCGGAACGGTCCAGCGGCCCTTGGAGACGAGCTGGGAGGTCTTCTCATCGATTGAGGGCTCGGCGGCGGCGACATCGTCCTGTAGTCATAATAAGCATCCGGCCATCCGCGTCCTCCACGTATTCCGGCGGTACGTACGACAGTGAGGTCCTCGAAGGGGCGAGCGGACTCGATGTTGGTCAGGGTCTTCTCGAGGTCCTTGAGCTCGAGGTCGACCTTCTGCTTGGTGGCCTCGGCGTTCTTGACGGCCTCGACCTCAAAGGCCTCGATGGCCTTGATCTGGCGAGAGACATCGTAGGTGGCGGGCTTGAAGGCGGAGAAGCGCTTCTCGATCTCATCGACGACGGCCTGGTTCTTGAGGATGGAGCGGTACTGGGCGAAGTCGACGGTCGTGGGGAGCTCCGACAGCTGCTGGACCCTGCGACGGGCGTTCTCGTTGCGCTGCTTGAAAGCCTGGAGGGAGGCGGCGGTCTGGCCCTTGAGGCCGAGGGAGGTGGTGACCTTGGCCCAGTCGAGCTTGAGAGCTGCGCTTCGCTATTGCAGGACAAGGAGAGAAATTAGCTCAGGTGGCCCAGCTTCAAGGGAGCGGATGCGCGGATGCGCGACCCAATTGGCGACATGGGCGGCAATTGCATCAATCGGCGACGAGAGACGAGCGGACTTCGATGGGATACACGTACTGCGGCCATTTTGGAGGATTTGTTGAGGGTTCGGGGGAGTGGAGAGGGAGTTGCGTCGTCGTGAGGTTGATGATTGACTTTGCCGACCGGAGAGCAGAGAAAGAGCCGGGATGGACTGTGTCACGCGGATGTTCACGTGATACTTATCCGGCCGAATGTACTGGGGTGTGACTGGCTGCACGGGAACGAACGGTTCAATGGTGGGGCAAAGCTCCCGGCTTTGCGAATTCGATCTGAGCCAATTCCCGCCAGATCGAGGGGTAGCTGTAAATTCAACCAGACGAGGCTGGTCTACAAAGGCAGGTATTACGAGCAGGAGTCAGCCCACGATGTCACAATAGCCAATCACGCATCACGTATGTCATAAGCGCGATATCCAGAGTGCAAGAAAGCGCCGATTATCATGACCTCTCATTGCGAAAAAGACTTTTCGGAGTCAACTCCCTGGGAATTGTACATGCCAACCCGTTCCGTCCTTTTTGCTGTATCGAGATTTTGAGAAACTACCTTTGACCGGGGCCGCCGCTAAATACTCAATGCCATAATAGAGTTAACGATATCGTTGTCGTTCTCCTTCAGGGCCTTGATGGCCTTCTTCCGGCTAACGTTGGCCTGGGTCATGACGAGCTCAATGTCCTTGTCCTCAATGCCCTCGGCGTCAACCTCCTCACCATCGTCCTCCTCCTCGTCCTTCTTGGCCTCGGCGTCAGCCTCGACGGCCTTGCCGTGGCTGGAGTGGTCGTGGCCGGCGTGGTCGTGCTCACCACCAGCAGCGGCGAGCTGCTGGGCGGCGGCCTGCTGAGCAGTGGCGTTGAGGTCCTCAATCTTGGCCTCACCGAAGACGCTTGAGTGCACGTGTCAGTTTCCACACATCGCATGACCCATGGTGCAGTATGCTACTTACATGTAGGTGTTGCTGTTGGGGGACTTGTAGACCTCGGGGCTGTTGATGACGAAGAGGATCTGGGACGTGGGTCAGCCTTGTTCAATATGCCCCCCCGCATTGCGCCGTGCGTGCCACCACCACCACCACCGACAACAGCCACATCATATCGTGCCAGGCAACTCACGTTCTTGGGGCGGCGGAGAGTGACGCGGGTGATGCCCTGCACTCTGGTCAGGTGCAGCTTCTCGAGAGCCTTGCGGGCCTTCTTCTCGTTGCGGGAGTGGATGACGGCGGTGGAGCCGGAGGGAAGGCCCTCGGCATCCTCGCCCTCAATCTCGGAGTCGGAGCTCTCGTCCTCGTGCTCCTCGACGGAGACCTTCTTGGTCTCGTCATCGGGAAGCTCTTCAACGCGGGGGTTGGCCATTTTGTCGACTGCTGAACCGAGGGAAGAAAAAAAATTGTTAGCTGCGGGGTGCTTCTGGTGTGGTGGTGGTGGTGGTGGGAGCTAGGATCGCGCGCAGAGCTGATTTGGCGAGCTCGGATTTGGGTGTCTGTGGGAAGGGAAAATGCCAACTTTTCGCACAAAAATTCGTCGGTGCAGTCGCGGGTTCGTTGATCGGGCAATGGCGTCAAAAATTCGACAGAGGGACAGCAACACTTACCAAAGACTAGAACGAGGGATCCTTAACTCGGCGTGGGGGATTATGTTCGGTGGCTTTGTGGTTTGTAGGAAAGATCGCAGAGAAATTCTAGGGTTAGCAGCACCTACTGTGTTAAAGTGGATTAGGTAAGCAGAAGACAACCGCCTGCGAGTCTGCCAACGCTCCCGACCTGAGTGGCCCCCCCCCAGTTCAGGTCCCCCGGATGGAACGCGGTGCACGCCGGGCATTTTGAGCCATGGCCGCCGCCTCAAGGAAATGGATGACATTCTGCCCGTCATTTCTACAAGGCTGAGGCAGAGCCTGGCCGTACATAGGCTCACTACGAAATCTGGACTTAACCGGGATGGATCTAGAACGGCATTTCGAGAACCGACTCCCGGCCATGGCATTCACGTCAAGAATAGGTTCGTCATGAAGATTTACAGAGTCTCAAAAGGAAAACCGAAAAAAAAGTCTTTACTCCGTGTCCCCGTCACGAGCCAACCAATCTATTTTTCTGATTGTGCCATGAATTCATTTTTGTCTCTGAATTTCCGTATTTGACGCCGGTCATCATATGATTGATGATGAATGTGACATACAGCCCTTCCAGTTACGGAGCAAAAGAGATGTGCAGCAACCCAATGCTGCGGTGATGCAGACCAAACCGGATCCCATGCTGTCACGCTCTAAACCAGCCCCGTAGTCTTCAAAGTCAACCCCATAGACATCCTAATCGTGAGTCCATTACGCCGAGGCCTTGACCTTGACCAGAGCCTTGCGCTCTTCGAAACGGCGCTGCTTCTTGAGGCGGAGAACCTTGAAGCGGTCGAAGTCGCTGAGGTTCTTTCTCCGCTCGATCTGAGTGCTGCGCTTGAACCAGTTGGTCTCCTTCCACTTCTGGTCGATCTCGGACTTCTCCCAGAACTTCTTGACGGTGCCGGTACGGGCGCCACGGGGCAGGTCGGCGACGACGAGCGAGGAGAGGAGAACGTTGGAGAGAGAGACAGGCTGGCGGGGGACAGCGAGCTTGGCGTCTGAGGAGGGGCCGTCGACCAGAGCCTGCAATTTGGTATCATGTTAGTCTTCCAGGTTTCCTATATCGTCCACGGAGCGCGCGCTCGTGCGCCCAATTTCAAAAAAAAAAACCATTCGAATCGTATCGGGGGAGAGAGGAGGTGCTGTCGTAACGTACGCGCTTGTGGTCGATAATCTCGACGATAGTCGCAAGGCGGCCGGCGTAGGGGCCGTTGCCCTGGATGAGGACGACACGGCCGACCTCGACCAGTCGCCACTTAGAACCCTCGATGGTAGCGTCACCCATTTTGCTGGTCGGTCTGAAGTTGGATCGCGAAGTTAGAATCGGGGTTGCGGATTTCGTGGTGTTGCGTCTTGCTTGTCTTGGAGGGGCGCGTCAACTTACCAGACGTCGAAGATGTGCTGCTGGTGGTTAGTGGTGGATGGAGTTCGAAGTCACTTCGGCACACTTCTTTTTTTTTTCCCTGGGAGGATGGTGCGACTTAGGGCAAGTCAGAAAGCCGCAATGAGACGGATTTGCTGATTAACCGAGCCGAGTCCCTCTCTTCCCAAAACGGCTTAGCTGGGGCGGTCAGTGGCCATTCACCGCGCAGGCTCCACCGACGACAGAACTTTTTTTTCCCATTCGCATAAAGGTGCAGCTTGATGAGCTCTCCCTTTGTTTTGTTGATCTTACTTTACATCAGCTTCGAGGTGCTCAGAATTTGGCATCTGTCTACGAAGCTGCAACAGAACACAAGGTACGTTCATATCGCCCGATACACACCCTATTGGAATGATGAGAAAAATTTGCGATTGATTTCTTTCGGTGGCTCTCTTTCGCCGGAGTGGCTATATCGTCTGAATATATGATATTCAATTCTTACATATTCTGACCTCCAAACCCAACAACACCTCTCTGTTCTCTGGAATCTCTGTCGGGATATGTTTGACTAATTCGGCATCCAGGTATGACCAGCAGTATAGACGACTTAATACTAAATAAAAGCTATGATATATAAACGTCTACGTTCTTGAAACCTCGTGTTGCCCGTTCTTCATGATTAATTGCGTGACCACGGTTTTTCAGACTGCCTCGCAACCACCGTGTAACATCACTGGAAAAGTATTTTGCGTCATGACTTTTGATATTCATCCTATGAACTCATGTATGCTGGTGCTACCCTGCCAACGCCGGACCGAAAATCATATTTGTGCTTCCCATGTCTATTTTCCAGCCTTTTGCTTCAGGCGGAGCTCGTCCTCCTCCTGGAGCTGCTTGTCGATCTCGGCACCCCTGGAAGGCTTGTTACCGTGCAGCTTGGCCTGATTGCCAATTAGCACTGATTCTTTCATGCGTGGAGGGCTCAGGAATGCTACTTACGGGGAGTGTGGCGTCCTCCTTGCCAAGGCGGGTCTCGAGGGACTCTTCCTCATCACCCTCTTTGTTCTTCTTCTCCTCAGCAGCGAGTCTGTTGGCGATGGAACGCTCATCCTCTGATTGACTATTAACAGCTGCAAAATCCCGGCCGCTGCACGGGTAACTTACTGGAGTCTGTCGCCAAGTGAGAGTGCTCCTTGCCCTCGTGGAAACGCTCGGCGTTGTTGGTCTCCTCCTCCTTGGCGTTTCTCTGATCGCCAGCCTCGTAAACGGCGCTGTTGCCAAGGTTTGAGTTTCCGGACATGATGATGGTTGTTTTGGTGGTGAGGTGGAAATTTGAGGGTATGTTTACTGCTAAAGAGCAAGGACGGTATGTTGTTTGATGAGTGATTGATGCTTGGATTGAGACAGGAGCAAAGAAGGCTTGTGTACAGCAGATGTGCTTTCTATATGAATGGGAAGGAAGCTGTCTTAGCTGCACTTGCGCAGCGACCCCCCTCCGGTACATCTACGTCATGACGTCTCCAGCGCCGATTCTCAGCTTAGACGGGCAAAACTCCCTCCTACGTCATGCAATTGTCATTCTCCGCAAAAAAGCCATGACAGATCTGCTCATGCCACATGGAAAATCGGCGATGCACTTAGGGCGGAGAGTAGTTGGCGGCTCTGACTTTACGGTGCATCTTCGTTGCCAATTTTCAGCCCTGTCTTTGATGCTGAAGCTGAGTGAGCTTGAGTTCAGCCCATCGCCTGCCTTAAGTCTGGCTACCCCTGCTCCACGGTCGATAACGAATGAGCGCGAAGGTCCAAGATCGATATTGACCTAGGCACCTTTTCTTGTTCAGCTGTTGACTCTTTCAGCAAGCCTCTCGTCTGTAAATAGGAGCGTTGAAGGTGAATCTGCCTGGTGCATTGAAATCTTACCCCGCCAGTACCTTCCCTGACGACCGACCAGTCACTTTCGAGCTTTGCACTGTGCGGCACCCTGATCGCGTGCTGCATATCCCGTGAATCTAGATAGGTAGTGAGATCAATTGCCCTATTGCTGTGGGAAGGCAACATGACATAGCAGAGGACCCATCGGAGCCGCGCCCCCAATCTATTCCGTTACGAAAAAAGCCAAATCGATGCCCAAGAGGCTCCAGGCCCATCCAAATGACAGAGTGAGGGGTCCCAAGACGTGATGCTCCATCGCTGTGCCTCCTGTGGCCAGTCCCAGGTGCATGGGGCCAGGGGTCAAGCGCGGCAGGCCCCGTCAGTGCGCTAATCCGGCATTGGCGTCTAAAACTAAGCCGCCCGGCTAAATGACGTAAACCTGATAGCTCCGGAGCTCCAGAGCTCCACTACCGACTTCATCGCATCACGCTGCACGAAGCAGAGCTCACGCAAGACAAACACACCACCAAAATAGCTCCCCAACGACCTGCCACAATGTTCGGATTCGTAAGGCTGCTCAATTGTACCCGATACAGATCAATTGACCACTGACACACACTGTAGCGCAAGACCCTCGACATCGTCACTGTCTTCCACAAGGCGAGCTCCCCCGCCTCTGTGAGGGTTGTCAACCTCCTCAAGCAGGTGTCGGCCAACGCCGCCGCCGGCGCGACTGAGGACCAGGCCAGCGACCACAGCGTCCAAACGAGCCCCAAGACGTCCCGCGCCGACTTTGAGCTCAACATCACCGAAGACCCCCCAACAGCCGACCAGGTTAAGACCATCCTAGAATACGTCGGAAAGAGCAAGATCCCATCAATCATCAAGGGTGCTTCCACTGAGCAGGATGCCCTGAAGAAGTTCCAGCAGAACGCCGAGGTTTTTCAAAGACCCGTGGTATGTGTTTCCTTCCCAGAGCTCGTGGTCCTCTTCAAACCTGTACTTTGAGAACATGGCTGACTGAGACATACAGACTGTGGATTGGAACAACGGCAAGGCTGTCTCTGGTGAGAGTGAATCTGAGATTCTCAAGATGATTAACGCCTTGAGCAATGAGAAGAGCTGAAAGAAGAACGCTCTCTTCAGATGTTTCAAAGCAGCTCCTTTGTCCTTGTTATCCAGATACCTGCGTTCTCATTCCCCCAATGGTACATTAGTAGTTGAATGATGAATATACTCTTCTCTCTTCTATGCCGTGTAAGATATCGTCCATTGCTTCCATCAAGCCCAAATTTAGCTCGTAGCTATTTCTGTAGGCTGCCGTCAATCTGTTGATAGCTGTCGGACGAGGATCCAAGTTGAGTTCCGATGAGTACTATGTTCCTGCAATAGTGCTCGTTCACGCTGATGAGCAAAGCCTTACCTCATATGCAAGCACTGCTACCTCAATTCTCCAGGACCAACGAAATCCCATCTTATTACTGATCCTCAATAGAAGTGTGCTGCATCAACTACATCTATTCGTTATCAGGAACAAATGAGTAAGACTTGTTTGTCTCTATGGACATTACAATGAGGGGCATGATGACCTTGGGAAAGATGTCAGACGGCTGAAAGAAGAGAACACTGGCTCTTTTCATATCAAGTTCCTGTGAAAGGAGGGGAAGAAGATCCCGGCTACCCACCTATACAGCAAATTGTGTCTACACATCAAGTAGGAGTCGTCGCAACAAAAGGAAGACCCAGGAAGCTCACGCGATTACCATGTGAGAGCCGTATCTGGTGTACTTACTAAAAATATAGCTGCCGGGAACTATGTTGCTGCCTGAGTCCTGCTTCCTCCACTTCACCGGTCTAAGAGGTGTCACTCTATGAACGTCTGAATATTTCGTTCTTCTGGTTGATGCTACTGCTGCTCTCATCTCCAGGCAGGTGCACCCACCCATGATTCCTTCCCAACAAACATCTCTGGGACCTGCCTCCTTCCTTCCAACCTCTCTCCTGCTTCTTTTTTTTCATTTGCCTTGTGAGTCTTGACCTTCTCCCTCTCTCTTCGTCCCAAAAACAACAACACCACCCACTTCATCGTCTCTTCTCCCTTCCCACCACCAAATCAATTCCTCTCCTACTCCAAAATCGCCACCAGAAATATTCTCATTTTCTCTACCTCCATTGCCTCCGAGCCCATCACCGCAAGCCTATCATCCCGTTGCCAAACGACGTTGGATATACGCAGCTTTGCAGTATGGCTTCTAACATCCATGGAGGACCTGGCTCCTTCCAAGATCAGCGCTTCCCCAGGAACAACGATCACGATAGTCGCGCTACGATGGCAAACTCTATGCCTACCAAGCCCTCCTCTCATTACTACCCCAACGGAATTCCCGACGGCTACAAGATGGTCGGTACCAAGGAGGCAGAGACGCCTAGACTTTACATCGAAGACAATCTTCCGATCGCCTTCTACAACCAGCCGACGAAGGAGATCAAGGCTATTTTTAGCACCAACAATGGCGAGTTTCCCACTCGCGGTCTCAGCCACGTCCTCCCAGTACGCCAGATTGATTTATGGAGCGCTGAAGAGCTCCAGGAGAGGGCCAATGCCATCCGCAAGAAGCATTGGAGTCACATGAAGTCCATGCCGCAGCTGGAGTTCTGGGAAGACTTGTATGATTATTTCGACTGCTATGACATCTACTTCCAAGGCGCGATGAACCTTTGGAATCTGATGCTTCATCTCTACCACGAAAATCAATGTCTCGTTCGCAACCTCCATCAAGAAATCGTTGCAGAAGTTGGTCACTGGTGCGACGAATGGGCTGCAAAGAGCGAGAACAAGAAGAAGCTGCTAGACTTCAAAGAATTCCAGGGCGACGTTCTCAATCTGCTGAGCTCAGAGGATCGCGTTGACCTCCAGGGATTGCCTCCTGTCAGCATGGAACTTGTCCGCAATGCTCTGAAGTTTCGACATGATCAGCTTCTAGGCAAGCCATGGGCTCAACCAGCCTTGTACCCGCAAAATAGCCTCGGGTACCAGTGGGAAGGAGGCACACTGCAACATTGGCTTGGTGAGTTGACTCTGTTACCTGTTGAAAGCGCCTGACCTAACCTTGTCAGCGGGTCAACCCGTTCAAGATACTCCTAGTGGACTTGCCCCAGCATCAACCGCCCCAAACCTGACGAAGGGCAGCCCCGACTCCCCGCTGTCCCAAACGAGCCCGGCTGCCAAAGCCTCTCCTCCGAAGCCATTGATCGTGAGCGGTACATCTAGGCAAACTCCAATCGACCATCTCCATCACGATGTTGCCACGGCCGTGAATCGCGTCAGCTACCCCGAGGGTACCCCAGCGGACAAGCGGCAGACCTTTTCGGCAAGTCATGGCCATGGTAACGATGGTTCTCGTCAGCTGCCTGACCGTTTGCTTCCCAACGTTGCGCAAACGAATCAAACTTCGATATCCAGAGGCGAAAATGCAGGTCCGGGAGGGTCCACCTTTTACCCTCATGCTATTAGACCTGATGGTCATCCATTCAGCACGCCTTTCACTACAGGTCCACATGGTATGCCTCAGCCCTATCTTGGCCCCGTTAGCCCCCTTCATGCTCCCTCTCATGCCCCCCCTCAAGGGCACTCTCAAGGGCACTCTCATGGACCCTCTCGTGGACCTCCTAATGGACCCTCTCGTGGACTTCCTCATGGGCCTCCCCATGGACCCATGGAACCTCCTGCTGGTCCTGGAAATCGCCGTTACGGCCCACCCTCGCAGGTCATTCCGTCTCCTCAAAGACCTAATGACAACCGCTTCAACAACGCTGGGCATTCGGCGCAAATACCGGGCTCTGTTCCCGTGGGCGGCGCGCAGCAGCGTGCTCAATCTGCTGCTTTTCCCGGAGTGGCACCTGAGCTGGTTTCCTTTCAGAGACACAACGGCAAGCGGAATGCATCAACAGACCCCCATTTTGGCCAAGCAGGCGACCGCGGCTCGCAAATGGGCCATCCGCGATTTGAGACAAGATTCAACTCGCGAGCAGCGCCTAACTCGAACGGCCCTTCTCATCATCAGCAGCGCACCCGTGGCGATTTAAAAGGATGGGAGAAGGTCCACAATGCAGATGACTCGATTCATGGGCCCGTTTTCCGTCGTTCTCCAACCAAGGAGAATCGCGGCCGTGCATTATCCCGTTCTTCCGCGTCTAGACAAACTTTCACTTGCACAAATCAACATGAAAAGCTTGGCGATAACAAATGGGCCTACGCGCCTTGCGAGTGTCCTTCTTGTGAGGCTCGTGAACGATCTGTCTTCGTTCAGCTCACCTCTCATCTGATTAGAGATGACCTGTCTGAAAAGGTCCATGCTGTGATGTCTCGGTGGGGAGAGGTTGAGAAAGTCAACAGATTGGCTCTCAAGGACCAGAAAGATTTACCCAACTTTTTTGTCAGGTAAGTGGCAACATTCGTCCAGGCTAGGAATTCTACTGATATCAGGTGCTCTCGTTCAGATTCAAAGAGGGTTCTCGCATCACTGAGATTGCATGCGCAAAGGATGTTGAGTGCGCAGAGCTTCACTGTATGCTCCAGACGCGACCTATTCACCATACGCGTTATGGAAGCTTGATGTATTCCAAGGGCAGCCGGGACGCGACTGAACAGCATAGAATCCCGAACTCGTATGAAGGGTCTCAGCAATCTCGGGCTAGCAGCCAGGTCCAATTCACCCAGAGCCAGTCTCTATCTGCTCGTATGGACTCTCGATCTCAAGCAGTCTCCTTGGAGCAGTACATAATTCCTCGTCCATTAAAATCGCAGGGCAAAGCAGTACATGGTTCTCAGCCCGAAGCGGTAACTGATTTAACTATTCCACTGCCCACCGCAGACCAAGCCACTGTGCTGCAGGGGAAAACTGAACTGCCCGAAGACGTCAAGCCGACACAAGCCAAACCGACTGTCGATCTAGCTTTGCAACAGTCAAGTGAAGCTGAGTCGCAATCGAAGCCGCCTTCCGAGGAGGTCATTCCCGATGAAGAGAAGACAACCAAGCATGACAGCCCTCGGGTTTCCAACAGTCCGTGCAAAGTCATTGTCGTCAACTTGCCGGCGACACCTCAAAAGCTGACGAAAACCTCGATGGGCACTGAAGTACACGGAGAATCTGACTCGTCTGGCAAGGCTGTCTTTACTCCGGACGCCAGTGAATCGGTAGCCTCTCCGTTCAAGAAAAGCCCCCCTGCCTCTCCCAGTGAGAAGGAACACAAATTCGGCGCTCTTCGTGACCAGGGACCGTCTGAAGAATCTGCGAAGGTTATACCTCACGTCTCGCCTGTCCCGGAAGAAGGAGTCATAGCCCCTGAGCCTCTTGCGCAGAGTCCCACGTATGGCAAGGGAAAGTACAGGAAGGTTTTTTCTCACAGAGATACCAGCAGTGTCGAGGTCTTCGACGTGGTGCCTCACATGCCAGGAAGAAGTAGCTCTTCGTTCCTCAAGACTTCGTTTCCTGACGAAGATGGGCCTAGCGATAGCCTTCGCTTGAATTCTGGACATGCACTCGACAGCTTGATCGATGCGGGCTTAATCTCAGGGGTTCCAATCACCGCTATGGCCGACGATGCTTCAAAGAAGAAGACCAAGAGAAACAAGAAAAAGAAGAAGAAGCCGACATCAGGAAGTCAAGATGAGTCTCTGCCCATTGGCGACGCCTCGACTGTGGCCGCCGATGATAAAACTCTTCATATCCCGGCGGAAACCCAGACTGGTGCATCAGAGACGGCCGACATCATCACGAAGGCCAGGGATATCGTTGCAACAGAAGCGTCTCCAGGAAAGTCAAGTCTCCCGGAGCCGCCTAACAAAAGCTTTCGAGCCAACGCTGGCGGCTCACTTCGAATGCCGAAGAATCGCAACAAGCAGCCGGCTCAGCTGAACATTGCTGTACGAGAAGGTTCTAGTTCTGGAGCAGCCACCATCCTAAAGGAGGCCCATGTCGTCGACGGCGGTCTTCCATCTGCTGCGAGTACTTCACAGATGAGCTTCACCACAGCCCAGGAAAGCTGCTCTGGCAACAGCTCGCCCAAGGTCTTATCGACCCCAGCAACTCCATCGTCGGCCAGGACGCCTGAACCGAAGTTTTCACCAGAAACGTCCGTGGTTGAGAGCGAAGCGACGGTAAAGTCAACCATGCAACTCAATCCAAAGGCAAAGGAGTTTGTGTCGCCTGAACCGCGCCCTGCTTTTCATAGGGTGAAGCTGGCGCCAATTCCATTGGTACCGATCCCAGTGAAGACCACTCAGCATCAACGCAACTTTTCTCGCAGTTCATCGGTCACATCCCGAACTCTCACTCCAGGACCAACGCCTCCCAAAGCTCAAGCTGAACAGTGTCAGGGACATGGTGCTGGAGATGGCGTCGACAATGGAGTGAGTTCTACAACTGGTGAAGTGCCAGTCCAAGATGAAGGCACGCAAAATTCGGCACCCGAGAGCATGGCGAAGGCAAAGCAGGACCACCCCGCTGAAGGTGGTACGCCCGTCCCACAGCCATCAAATGCTAGCAGTGGCAACGGTCAAAGACAGCGTGCGAAGAAGGGCGCTAGCAAGAAAAAGCAGCAACAGCTTAGCAGCGATCGCGAACAGCACGGGCAGCATCAACAGGGTAAGCAAGAACCGCAGAAGAACAACCCTTCGCCTAAGAAGCAAAATAAGCACGTCCAGCAACCGCAACATGCCCCTGGAACGCACAACAGAAAGCTTTCTGTTGCAAGTAAAGACGACTTCCCGTCCCTGCCGCCTGCTCCCTTGCCTGCTTCCAGCCTACCTGCGACCAGCGTCTGGGGCAAAGCGCGTGCAACATCAACTGCTACAAAGAGCAGCACCACCACTCCTACCAGCAGCATGAGCAGTGAGAACAAGACCAAGGACAAGACATCCTCGGGCGCGCTCCCTCAGGAGGGCAGTGGCAAGCATTAGACAAGGATGTTCGATGTTTGGGGGGAAATGATTTGGGCGCGATACGAACAAATACGGAAAGACGGAAGCATATGTGACAGGACAGGGTTGACTAAGAGCTTTTCTGTAGATTGGAGAGCCTGTTGGGGAGGTATCTCAGAAGCAGGTGATGGGGAGGATTTGAATTCGTTCCTTGAGAAGGATTTGTGTTTGAGTGATACCCATAGCTCGCGCTTGTGGCTTAGTAGTTGCGAAGAAATAGAATGAACATTGCTCGGAAGACTCTCTATCTGATCGTTTATTGCTTGAATGCTTACTTGGGTGGTTGTGAGCCCCGTCATAGGTGACCTGAAGTGAACTCGTCTTCTCCCAGAGCCTCGTCTGATCAAGGGCACAGTGAACATCCCGGGGGACGTGGACACTATCCAGCAGACCGCATATGGGATCGTCGTAGAAATGGTACTTTGCAAACACAGATAACCCCGAACTGTTACCATGGCGCCTAGTTTCATTCATCGGCAGCTCGCTGAGTTCAGTTTCAATACAACTTTCGGCTCGTCATTCTCAACAACATGGTGATGGTACAAAAGGTCCTTGTTTTGGTCTATTCGTTCAATTGTCCCCGCCCGGGTTTATACGTTTATGCGCCGTTCTTCACCAGGGTCGTAACTGTGTCCTCGATCTGCTTGTCCGACAGGCCTTTTGCGGAGCATGTTAGCTACCGAGCGTCCTCGAGAGAGATTGAAGGAGGGGGGAGGGTGACTCTCACCTTCCAGCGACTGGCTCTTTTCAACGCCGAATTCTGTTTGAGAAAGAGTACCTAATCAGCATTCGGTATTCATTCTGTATCATTGGGAAGTAGTTCTGACCGTATCTCGCGTAGATCTTGGGTAGTGTGCCGGCGGCCTCGCGGATGAGGATGGGAGTCTGGGGGTTGTTCTTCTTCATCGTGGGGTAGGCTCTTGCGACGAAGTTGCTATTGCGATGAGGGGTTAGCGGGGGATCGAGGTGATGCGAGCGGTTGGTGTCGTCGTCGTCGTCGTTGGGAGGTTTCGAGGTTGGGGTGTACATGCGCTGAGCGTGTGTAGGGAAGTCGAGGAAACGTACCGGGTCGCGGCGCTGTGCTCGCCCGTCTGGCAGAAAAGGAAGCGCACCTCCTTGAGGGCCTTTGTGAATGCGTACTTGCTCGACATCGTGGCTGGGGCTGCGCGAAGGAGGTGCGGACGGGCGGCGGTTGGGTCAATTGGCGGGATTCGGATCGATTGGAGGAGCCTCTTTGCTGGTGGACGGACTGGCGAGGATTGAAGTTAACGAGATGCTCACGGTTCGAGGTGGGTCAGGGAAATTTGCATAAGGCGGTCGGGAACTCAGGATGAGCATAAATTGTCTAATTGGGTATTATTGATTGGTTGGACTCCTGGAGCTGTGGACTTATGCATATGCACAACTCAACATCCCCGATCTAGGGGCCGTTTTTCAAGGTACGCAGCTACAGACAGGCGAGTATTACGTAAGGTGCTAAGGTTCAAATGGAAATTGGAAGGTGAGGTCGACCTGGTCAGTGCTCCCGCAGTCAACTTTTTTTCCCTCGACGGGTTGTCCCCGCTTATCTCCGGTTGACGGACGCTGTTTGCTCGCTGAGAGCTGCCGTGCGCCTTACCTCTCAGTGCACCGTATGCGCTCGCTCGTGCTCCCGGGCCAAAAAAAGCTGCCCGCTCATCTTCGGACGTCCCAAACCTCAACGCATCTGCCTCTCTCAACCTCGCCTCAACCTCTCCCCTCCATCCCTCTCGTGCGTCTATCGAAAGGAAAACCCTCTCCGCTCCAAACCACCTCTGCCTCCGCGTGAATTGAGATCCCTTCTCAATCGATCCTCCGAACCCGAGTTTCCGACGACATATACACACGAAAAGAAAAGCTATAGCTTTGACAGTTCGTCACAATGGCCCCCGCCAACAACTTCTTCAAGGCCGCGCGCCCTGCCTTCCGCCAGCAGGTCTTTGCCGGTGCCCAGATCCGCAACGCTTTCCGCACCTCCCAGTTCCGCGCCCAGTTCCGCGAGAGCTCCAAGAGATGGCAGAGCTCGACTGCGTCCGCCGATGCCCAGGTTAGCTGGTTCAAGCGCATGTGGGACAGCCCCATCGGAATCAAGACGGTGCACTTCTGGTGAGTAGACTATCCCCGACATGCGATACAAAGGCTTCGCATGGTATTCTTTTGACTTGTCCGCTGACTCCGATGGTCCCAGGGCCCCCGTTATGAAGGTATGAAGTCCTGGTAGCTGAAGGTACCTCCGGGTATCTCCCTTGCAGATGTCCGGTCGCGATGTCGGAGGTCGATATAGACCGGACGAAGAAATACCCGAGAGAATTGGCAATGCCTCCATGGAACGAATGCTGACTGGCAACGCAATACACAGTGGGCTCTCGTTCTTGCCGGTGTTGCTGACTTTGCCCGTCCCGCCGAGAAGCTGTCTCTCACCCAGAACGGTGCCCTGACGGCCACTGGTATCATCTGGACCCGTTGGTGCTTGATCATTAAGCCCAAGAACTACCTGTATGTCATGAAGGGTCTCACAAAGGGAACGTGTCAACTAACCTGTCCAGTCTTGCTGCTGTCAACTTCTTCCTCGGTGTCGTCGGTGTCGTCCAGTGCTCCCGTATCCTCATGTGGCAGCAATCTCAGAAGAGTGTTGGTGACCTGGCCAAGGATGTCAAGGAGGACGTCAAGGAGGCCGTCTCTTCCTAGACCTAGAATCGCAACTGCCGAGCAAAGTGGGGTACATTAAGGGGTCCATGGGAGGGACGAGGTAAAGTTGTAGCATGGTTCCAAACTGACGTACCAGCTGCGGCCACGATCCAGGAACAGTCGCGGAGGCAAGAGGAGACGGCGCAGAGCGCTTCGGATTACCCACCCTGTCATGTCATGTCATGCATCAGACACGTCACGCTTCTCAGATCTGGTTCCTAGACACTTCCTTTTTCTAATTCGATATACAACAAGGCCAATATTTCACGGCCCAAAAGATTGCAAGAGAAAGAAAGCAGACCGCGTTCTGACTCGAATCATGCGTTATGGTCGTTGTGCCGTATGTGCTTTGGCTGAAGAGTATACTCTATACGGAACAGCAAATGGATCCCCGCGGTAGCATTCCGCGATTCCCCGCGTAGTAACGTGACCAAAAGACGGGTTGATAGCTAGCTTGACCAGCGTACCGCCAGTATGGATCCTCGACGGAAATCCCGAGACATCTGCGCCATTGTGTCATTCGAGCTGTGTGCGACATATTCGCCCAGGCACCCCCACGCAAGCTCCCGAACCAGAGTCGAGCCTTGATCGAACCCTGATTTCGAGCGAGGAGACTTGGCCTGGCCTCTGTTCATGGGATTTCATCTTATTACTAAGCAGCTCGACTATGGAATACAATCTTGGCTGATATGACAGTTGGTGGCCGGGCCGTGTACGGAGCGGAACCCCCCTTGCACGGGTACCGAATCCCAACGCCGACGACATCTTCGGCAAGGGCGTCTCTCGGGGAATCTTGGGGTGCCGAATCGCTTTGTTCGAAGTGGCAAGCTGCTCAGGCAGCAAAAACTGACCCCGCCAGCGACGATATCAACAGCACGTCGGACTCCTACCTCGATGGACTACATGCCCGAAAGGGCCAGCTGCATATGCGGGCATATGGGGATGCGTTAAGAGGTCCTATCAACGGATCAGACTTGAGGGCACTACTACTAGGCTCCCCGAATCGGCGTGGCCGCCGAAGACGAGTAAGCTCGCCGACCTGCCCTAATGCCATGAAACCCCTGGCCTTCCATCGCTTACGTGGAAATGGCTTTTTGTCTTTTATTCGTTTTACTCCCTCTGTTCCCCTCACACACCGCCGCGACCGTCTGGGACTAAAACCATATGGCCATGAGGGCAAGATGGGAATTGACAATGCGGAACTTGGCCGATACGGGCAGCTAAGATACGCCAGGTGGCGTATCAGTCCCACGCGAAAGGTACCAAGGGGCCCTTCACCGTCCTTCATAGGAAGCTGGGCACGTTTCTTTTTCCGACTCACTTTCAGCTTGCATACCCGTACTTCGTACCTACTCCGTACCCATAACCAACGTCCAATATCGCTCGGGTCAGGGTCTCTGTTCGACAATGAATCGAGCCAGCCCACGCGGTGGTTGGAATAGGGTTGCTGACACCACGCTGGCAACATTGCCGGGTCGTTTGACTTGTGACTTGGCTGCTAAGCGCTTGAATCATTGGCCCGCAACAACATGTCAGGTTCCCGAACCCCCTCAGTCTCCTTGACATATGGTACATGAGCCACTGCGTCGGACCCAGCATTTCGGCCTTCGAGGCCGATGATATGCATTCTCTCGGGGGTGATGTCATGGGCCTGGCTTCGTTCCTGAATACCCTGGCGGGCCCCTCTCCGTTGAGGAATCTAGCAAGGCTGAAATGGAAAAGAAGGAGGGGGAGGGGACTTTGTTGAATGGCAAAACGACCAAAAGACGAGTCGTTGGAAGCTGAGTGTCTGCCACAATGGCATGATACACGACTCGGTGTCCCGCAGAGATCTACGTGTGCCGCCAGTCGGGCAGGATCTGATTCTTGAAACCCGATTCAGTTACTGTACCGCAATTTTGCCGGTGTGCTGCGTATGTTTTCCGAGGTAACGTTCGTGCTGCCGGGTTCGACAACTGTGGGAACACCCCCCGGAACCGGGAGAGTGAACCGTTGTGTCGGGATACCCTCCAACATGGTTCCAGGTTGTGTATAACAACCCACTGCTGCGTCGTTAATGTGCTCGTCCACGAGTTGAGTAAGACTCGATACATCGACGCAGACATGACGAATAGCAATAGCAACGACAGCACCAATGTTCTGGGGGAAGTGGTCTTCAGAGCCGAGGAGACTGCCCGTCAACTAGTCGACTTGGCTAACGCTACCAAGACGATCCACTTACAGACGCGAAGACAGATGAACCAGCTCCAGTCCGAACTATACCGCACAACCACCCTATATAGACTTATCTACAACGACCAAATCTGCCACCTCGAGCCATCATCAACCACATTCCGCGGCCTCGCGCCGGTGGACCTCAACATCTGCAGATATTCCTTTAGACGAGCCAACGAGACCCTCCGCCTCTTTCAACAGAGCCCAGTGACGGCGGGGCCGGCAGAGACATCCCTCGCAAGCCCGCAGTACCCGAAACTCCTCCTCGAAACCCACAGGCAGGTGAAAGCTCTCAACGACGAGATCCGCGCCGACGTCGTGCTCGCCATCAAGCGCGTGCTCAACCAAGACCTCTTCAGCCGGGACACGCGCGCCGTGCAGCTGCGCGATATCGCCGTGGGGCGGGACCCGAGTCTCGAGCACGATATCTGGCAGATTCGAATCCAGAGAGGGGATGCCCCCTTGATCGCAAGCTTGCTCCTCGCGGGTGATGATATGTGTCATACCTCTGGCGCTGACGGAGTCGACGGCGTGTCTGCCACGGCCTCGTGCCTGCGGTTCCGCGACGCGAATACTATTGTCGAGACAAGGGCCATGCCGCGGGATGACCCGGATATATGCCGCAAAACGCTCAAGCTCGCTACCTTGTTACACGCCGCGCGGTCGCCGTACCTCCTCCGCTGCACGGGCTTCCAGGTCCTCGCCCAGAACCGGAATCAAGACAGGGAGCAGGACCCGGATCAGCGGCTGGAATTCTTCTACGACGCCTCCCCGCTGCACGGCTGCCGCAGCGCGGAGATCCACAGACTGTCGGAGCACCTCGGCTCGCCGACGGGCCACTTCACGCGCGGGCGGCGGGAGGCGGCGGCGAGGATCCTCTCGGATAAGATCCGCTTTGCGGGACAGCTTGCGAGGGCGGTGAGCGAGCTCCATGCTGTTGATCGGGTGCATGGCGCCGTGCGTGCTGAGAATGTGTGGTTTGGGGTCAGGGGCGGGGAGTATGAGGCGAAAGTGTCGGTGCCGTTGCTTGTCGGGGCTGGGTTCGAGGAGGGGGAGGTGAGGCGGTGTCGGGTTCGTGGTGGCGGTGAGGATCGTGGTGATGGAGGAGAGGCGCTGGAGGAGGGTAAGAGGAGGGATATATTTGCGTTGGGGGTGTTGTTGTTGGAGATTGGCCTAGGGCGGCTCATTACGGAGGTTGCATCTGCGTCTGCGACTTCGTCTGCGGCCTCATCTTCGGGCGGTTCTGGTTCTGGTGTCGGCGTTGGTGCTGTCTCTGCGGCAGAGCATCTTGGGACGCTGAATGCGGTCATGGGTGGGAGGTATACGGCTGCCGTGCGGGCGGCGTTGGATCCGCGACAGTTGGCTGTCGCGTTCTCAGCCATGGATGTAGGTGGTGGAGCAGAAGGAAGAGGAGGGGGCGGCGAGAACGAGGATGAGGACGAAGAAAAGAGTTTGTTTGGTAAGAGTGGCAGTTGCGGACTGGATCGGGCTTTCAGGGGAGTCGTTGTCGATGAGTTGTTGGGTGTTGTTGGGAGGGCGTGAGGAACGAGGAGGTGATGCTTGGGGAGCTCTGGGTTCTAGGGTCTATTTTGGATGGGCTGGTCTGATTGAGGTCTACTGACATTCCAAGCATCAGACCCAGGACTGAATTAGTACTTAGGCAATGGCGATCATTCTCATTGAATGTCAAGATGATTCTGAGAAGTTGGGCGTGAGACTGGGGTCGACGTCGAATGCAGTCAGTTAATCACGGGGTCAAAGGTAGGAGATACTGGCATACTAAAACTTTTGATTGATAACTCTCCTTCCACTACGACGTGGAAGTAATAGAAGAAGCAATTGAAAACTATTTAACCTTTTTAGAGGTCGTACGCTCTGGTTTGCCCGATTCTTGCAGGGCCAGTAGTGCGAAGGCCCAATACATGATAGTCATGCGGTCAATTTGGCCAGACTATCTTCCACGATCAAGAATGCCACGCATTGATCCTTTGCGCCTGCAAAGACGGAAAAACCCCCACGACATACACATCAAAGACCGTATTCGGAATCACCGCCGTGATCGATGTACTCGCCAACAACGGTGTCCCCCTCATTATCATCGGCGTCTTCCTCGTCGTCATCGGCGTCGTCATCGGTGTCTTCCTCGCCTTCTTTGCCAACTCGAGTATTCTTCAAATGACCTCGAATACTGTCTGGCGAACTCGAATCAAGCTTAGATCTCTTGCGGCGACTTCCATTTTGGATGATCGTCAGGTCCTGGAGTAAGCTCATCCTCTGATCCAGTCTCAGGTAGTGGCTGACCCTCACAAGCGGCCTCAAGTTCAGCTGAAGGTGGCTGATCCTTACATTCGGCCTCAAGTTCAGCTGAAATTGGATGGCCGATCCGCCGCAGAAACTCCCTCTCCTTTCTAGAAGGCTCTACCATAAACTTGTGATCGGCCTCGGCTTTGGCTAGACGCTTCTCCTTCGGAGTTGGATGGATGTCACTATCCTCGATGATCAGGTCATATTTTCCCTGTTAGCTGAGCATAGGCTTCTCCCGATAGTATTGCTCTTGAACCGTCTTCTATGCTTCATGTATTTTCTCCGTAAGCATGTCTTCAGTCGAATAGCTTCTCTCCTGCGTGGGATCTCCAAATTCGCTCGCGGCCCAGACCTCATAGTCCCCTGGCACCTTTTCCGTCCACTCGGTTGGGAACCAGCCTCTGAACTCCTGCATCTGGCTAGCATTGTAGAATCACGTCGGATTCGGAGGAGTTGGAAGTCGTTGCATCGGGTACTTGTTCATCACATATCTGCGGGGGATCGGCGGTGCTTCTTCGTCTAACTCGTCGAGCCGTCCGTGCGTGCTTTCGCGGGACTGAGACCACACAACACAGAAGATGTAGTCGAGAAGGACAGGGCGGATGCTTTCTGGGGTCTGTCGGTCTCGGGTGTTCTGGAGGAAAGTGAGGACGATGTCATCGGGATCGAGACCCTTGATGACGGGGCCAATATGCTCGAAGCAAACACCGCCGTGTATAACCTTCTTCAAGATTTTGAGCCGCGATGCAGAGTCGTTCAGAGACAGAACTTTCGACGTACTGCTTGCGTGATCGATGTAGGGAAGGGAAGCCTAATCGGCAATTAAGGCTCCGCTGTGGTCTCGTTCACACATCTTCTCAAGCGAGCGGCCCGCAATGCACTCGATGAGAATCGCGCCTACACATCTCCATTGGAGGGTTCTGGGTGAAGAGGATCTGCCAGGTTCAGGTGAATCGCTAGCGTCGAACTTGAGCGCCCAGCTGCCGTAGTACTGCGGTACCATATGAGGATCACCCGTGATCTTTTGCTCGTAGAAGTACTTACAGGCATTAGCTTCCCGACTATATAGTTGATTGGAAACTTCGCTGGGTGTGAGACCGAAGAAGTAGGAGAGCTGATCTAGAAGGAGGAAGGTTGGGTCGAAGATTTTGAGGACGACCTTGAGCCCGAGGATAAGACTATGACGAGTGTCGCGGCTGATGGATGATGTCTTAGTGATCCTGCAAAGGAGGATAAGTGCACTACCCTCGATGTCACCGTTCAAGCATCTGATGACCTCGACCTGCACTTCGTGACCCGGCTGCTCAACTGTGGGGTCGAAGTCGGGGAGGAGCCACTCATTGGACTCGGGCCTTTCTGATCCGTACTCTGGGAGACCGTAGTGTATACCAGAGCTTCTGAGACAGAGCGCCAAGACTTCTCGTGGCTTATAACGCCCGAACTCTTTCCAGAGGTGAATTTGTCGCTTGCGCTCATCCTCCCCACTCGCTTCCGGCATGCCAGAGTCTGACATGATGAGGTTTGATCAGGCCTGGCGGGGAGAGAGTGTAGGTTTCTCAAGATGGGAGAAGATGAAACGGTGAGGAATGAAAGGGATTCTGTGTAGGGAAAACACGTTTCGACGGTGCGAAAGTGGAGGGGAAAGAGTCGATGAGAGAGGGCAGAGTGATTTTCGGCGGCGCATGAGTTCGAACTTCCCTGGGTACCCGCAAAAGTATAAACGAATGAAATGAGGCACCTCAAGGTTTATGAAGTTGCCTTGATACGGGCATGAAGAGAAAGACCTAAGGCCTCTGCGATGGAAAGATGAAACAAAAGTCGGGATCACATTGAGAAGGATCTTGGAAAGGTGAAGGAAAACTACCTTGACATTGACACAAGGAGGAACATAGAAGTACTTTCGCAGCAAGTTATGGCTAGGAAAAACCGACCAGGACAGCTCACCTGTCTCAGGCAAAATAGCGCCGAAAACCTGAGTCCACGATGTTTGGATTTACCTGACCAACTAACAGGAAAAGCGACAAAAGCCCAAAAGATGAAGATGCCTGTAGGAGATTCAAATCCTCTAGAAGACGCCCTAATAAGTGTCTAGAGTTCGCGGCTTGTACTACGAGGCTTAGAAAGGAAATCAGAACAAAGGTGGTGTTTGCCCGGAAAGGAACCCCTATGCTAGGGAATGAGGCACCTTTGTTACCTGTGCTACTACCTATGCGACCTCTGCGATCTCCCGGGATAAAATTTCAGTTGCAAAAGAAGAACTTGCCCAAAGCTTGTGCCGGACTAAGCGCCGGGAGGAGACATCGTCGGTGTCAAGATGAATTTCAGACTTTGATATATCAGTTGGATGCCCAAATATTTCATCCGAAATGTTCATAGAAATCTGGATGCGATGAGAGGAGGAAGCGAGGTAAGCTCGGATACTTGCATCTCGTCAGAAAGGACGATGTGCTCTCAGACGCAATGCAGCAATCTTGGATTGAATGCCATGTAGGATAGACTGATGAAACGATACTGGGCTGGAATGTGGGACATTGAAACCAATATCTCTGGAGGGTTAATGTCAGATGAGAGGACGAAAGAAATAAACCTCGAAGGGAGGATGGAAAGATGATTCTCCCAGAAACAAGGAGGGATTGTCGGCTTATGAACGACACTTAGGAACTGATATTAATGGTATACGTGGAGGAGGGACCAAGTTTGAACTGTTCCCAGTTGTTTCTTATACTGTTTTCAGTTGTAATGATAGAGGTAGAGTCAAGAACACAGTGCTTCCAGTGTGTTTGACCCGGATTCCACGGGAATTTGACGGCCGTGTGTGTCAAGCGTTCTGCAAGACGCTCCCCATTTCGTGTGACAGGAGCGAGATATGCCCGAGCTATACTACATTGTTGTCCGCAGTTTCCATGTCGTGAAAGAAGCTGAAGCAGTTTCAGAAAGGGAATACTGCCGTTAATCAAGGAGATGTCTTTCAAGGTACCAAATTAAGAAGCCGATGAGGTTCGTGCTAACAACAAATCAGCAATGACTCTAAGTCTGTATTGAGCCATTGGGATGAGACGTTCTTTGATCTGGACATCTGAATCAACGTCGGAGCTGAGGTTGTCTCCTTCTGAAACAGTTATTCCTGTGAGGTAAGTGGCAGACTATCAGTTAAGGACTATGAATGGCCATGCACCACGTGTGGGTGAGTACAGAGTCACCGCCCCCCCCTCCCCCCCGCCCCGTCGCACCTTCCCACCATATTTATCAAATCTAGACCTGACACTCACTGAATCATTTCTTACTGAATTATTCGAATCATTGCACCACAAACCCAGAAGGCTCTGGATTTCTCCCTTTTCTTAAGCCGTCTCTCACTTTCCAAGCTGGAACGGATGGCCTCACCTTCTTCATTCGCTGATTTAGCCAGCCTTTACGCCTTCTACACGTCGCCAACATCATCTCCAGCTGCATCAAGAGCTCAGAATGCCTCCGCTGCCCGCCGAGATGCCGCTATCAGCCAAGACGTTACTCTTCGACCTCGACGATGACCTCGCCGACTGGTTCCCCCCCTACGGTGAGCCCGCCGATCCTCCCTTACCGCCCCCAGAGACCGCGACTAGTCTGCAAATGAGCGACTTCACCCACGTTACCTTCGCCGACCCCATTCTCTACATCAATCTGGTACAGGAATGCTTCCAAACCGACGCCCACCTGGAGCCCCTCAAAGACCGACAACTGGTGGGAGTCAGAAACGACTTGCGCTGGGGTGCCACCGCCATCGACGTGTGCGATCAGCTCTTTGATCCCGCTCACTCTTTCGTGTTCCATCTCCTCCGCCGCTATCCCACGCAGCCCATCCCGTCTGTGGTCAAATACAGTTGGCAGGATACGGGGTTATGGGAATTGAAGAGAGCCGTGTACTCTCTCGTGGCCCTCCACGATCCAGCCGAGATCCTGCCTCTGAGCTTTCCACTCAGTACCCGTCGTCGTCGTCGGTTCGCCATGATCGAGGTGAGGGCCTTTGGTACCTTTGACGCCCTGGTCAGCGACTTGCGCAAGGTGGAGGAGAAGACCAAGACCAAGAACGAGGACCACCACGACGAGGGTACCTCCATCGTCGGCCCCGACGTCTCTCGCCTCGAGCTCACTACCCAGAAATGGCTGAAGCATATCGCAGACACCTGCCTCAGCCTCCGAATCAACCACGCCGCTATCACCGACCACGTCCACCTCATCATGCTCGTGTTCCCCGCGATGATCATCAGCCAAGATTCCTCTTCTGCCCCTAGTCAACTCCCCTCTCCCGGCGTTCACGGAGGAACCTTTTCGGCTTCCATTGTCAGAAGAAGCCGGGAGAAGCCTGTTGCCTACGCGGGATGGCTGAGAGCTGCGGCACGTGCTACGCCTTTTGATGCTTGAGATGAGGGCAAGTATAAGGTTCCTGGTGTGAGTGCTATCTATTGAATCTCTCTTCGTTGCTGACTGTCTATTCCGTGAGGTAGATGACCGGATTTGATTCTATCGACAAGAAAGCCTCTATCGACAAGAAAGCCAAGGACCGATACAGAAGGAGTATCAGAGTGAGCGAAATGGAAGGGTGAAGAGACAAAGCAGAGAGGATCAAAGAGGCAAGACGAAGCCGGGGAGGGGTAGTGGGGGCATCATGAGGTCCGCGAATTGACAGATTGACAACGTGCCCCCCGAGACCTTGTCCAGACCGAATCAGATCAGCATAGACAGATCCATAGAATGGAATCACCCGGGATCTTAGAAGAAGACTGCGCAAAGTTGGTGACGTTTTCCATGTCTATTCTTGTGTACGACCAGAGTCCATCGAGGTCTCCTGGCGATGGCAGCCATTAGACAGTTATGTCAGAAGATGGCAACCCAAACTCGATCGGTCAATCGTGGAAGAACAATGTTTAATAACCATCATGTATCATGAAACTTCTACCATCATAACTCGTAAATATCTCATCTAGATCGTACACTCCACCAACAAACAGAGGAGGTCCCGCCTATCTTCTCTCCTTATGCTCTCCGAACGCCAGCTCTTCATCCTCACGCCCCTTCTTCATCTTCTCCACAGCCCCTCTTCGCCTCAACATATCCTCCTCCTCAGCACCAGGCACACCGCCCCGACTGTTCCGCTTCGTGATCGCCTCCTCTTCCTGCGCGATGTACTTCATCGGCCGCTTTGAGCTTGTGGCGTCCTTGTCGCGGAAGACGAAAATATCGTGGTTGTCTGCGAAAAAACGGTCCACATCCTCGAGGGAGCGGTCTGCTGTTTCGGGGTAGAAGAGATAGACGATGGGGATGAAGGAGAAGTTGAAGACTGTCCAGATGATGTAGAATTGCCAGCCGAGGGAAGAGATGCCTGGTGGTGTGATCTCGACGACCTGTTGGTGGGTTAGGTCTCTGGGTGCTTTTATTTGCATTGGAGGAGAATCGCGGGAGACGTACCATGAAGTTGACAATCCAATTCGTTGCGGTGCCGAGAGCGGCTCCCTTTGTACGCATGGACAAGCTGTTGATCTCGGTGGGGTACAGCCAAGGCACACCTATATCGAATTAGCAAACATTGACCCAAAGAATCGGGAAAGGACTTGAAGTACCCTGCCAGCAAATGCCAAAGAAGACATAGTACAAGAAGAAGAAGGCGATGGAAGCCTTTGCCCACTGAGACTGCGTCTCTGGTGCCAGGCCAGCCATTTCATTGTAACGAATACAGATGGTAATGACGGCGTAGCACATGAATTGGCCAAAAGCACCGTCTGTTTGCAACAATCAGCTGTCCTGTGCGTATTCATCGGGCCTGGATTCGACGTTTCCACAACTTACACATCATCATCTTTCGCCTTCCCCATCTCTCCACGTTGGGAATTCCAATCAAACTGAACAAGAAGTAGCTGACGGAGTTACACGCCGCCAGTAACCTCGCTAGTTTATTGTCCAAACCGACGGAATTGATGAGAACGAGGGGCAAATAGTAACTTGTAATATTAATTCCGGAAAATTGTTGCATGGCCTGGGTTCCACACCCGAGGAATATACGCCGGATGGTGGACGTTCCCGACGACTCGCCGGTCCGGCCTCGGAGGAGGTCCGACCAGGGGACGGTATTCTCTCTTTCGTAGTTGATGGCCCACTGGATGTCCTTGGACTGAGTCTGGATATAAGCATCGTCGACAGGCATGTCTTCGAGGTCGGCAAGAATCTGTTCGGCTTCGGCGACGCGGCCTTGAGCCATGAGCCAGCTGGGGTTATTGTCAGTCATAGGAATCTAGCGGGTGATATTTATGGGACTAGGGAGGGGACGTACCGAGGTGACTCAGGCAACCAGGGGACGGTGCCGTAGAGGATGAAGATGAAGAAGAACTGGAAGGCCAGGGGAACGCGCCATGAGATGGAGCCGGTGAGGTATGAGAAGCCAAACGTGACCCAGTTACCTGCTCATCGTTAGTATCTGGTACCGAAGATCGAGACCGGGAGATATCCAGAGAGGGAAAGGAAGACGAGGAAGACATACTCAGCGAGAACCCAAAGATGTTCATAATCATCTCAATGACAATCAACTTGCCTCGCCAACTCGCCTTACTCGTCTCGCCCTGCCACACCGGAGCGGTACTGGTATTGATACCGTTTCCGATACCCGCGACGACACGGCCGACGAACATTTGCGGGAGGCCAAAAGCGGCGGTCTGCAGGATGGCGCCAATGGACATGATTGTGGTGCCGACGAGAATAGTGTTCTTGCGGCCGAGGCGCTCGCCAATCCATATGGTGGAAATTGCGCCGAGGAAGCAGCCAATGTCGTAGATTGCGGTGACGGTGGATTGGAGCTTGTCGTTGCCGACGATGCCCATCGTTTGGAGGAAGTCATCTGTTACGATGACGCCGCCGAAGACGCCTTGGTCGTAGCTGGTGGGGTGTTAGATTAGAGATCCTGAGAGCAGAAGGTTGGAAGATGAGGCTCTGGGGGGAAGGAGTTTGAGGGTGAAAAGAATTGGTGAATGGTGGAAGGTGAGCTGAGGTGAGGAGGATGGAAGGAAGGAGCAGACGTACCCGAAGAGTGTCATGTCTGTCGCGCAGGCGATGGTGACCCAAAAGGTGAGCCACCCGCCCTTCAAGCCAAACCATCCCATGATGAAAGGCTCAGTATGAGAAATCGATCCAGTTGTGTGTTGTCGTCGATTGGTGAGTGGTTGTAATTTGTGAGAGGGAAGGTGAAAGAAAAGGTGAAGAGCAAACGGTGAAGCGGACCGAGCGTTGAAGAATTAGTGCTGGAACCCGTGCTGTGTTTTCCCAATCCCGATGAATACCAAATTTACCCTGGACTAGACTAGACCAACAAACATTTGTCTTGGGCTGCCATTGTTTGGGAAAGCGGCATCAGACGCAGTCTATATAGAAAGCCAAGAAAGGGGACTACATACGTCTAATTCCTCCGACTAGCGGCATCATCTCTCCCATGGTGGGGGCCCCGTCAATTAGTCCCGAACCAACATGGGGCCGGGGCACGCCAGCCAACCCCAGACAAGCTCTACCAGTAACAAGGCGTCGCCGCTAAATCTATCGCGGCTACCTGCCCGGAGGTACCCCTAGTGTGCTCGTCGCCAGTCTGTGGGGTAATGATTGACGGATCGGGCGGTGATGGGAAAGGCGCCTGACTAGTGTGGATAACAAAACGATGTCATCGTCATGGTGCGGCGGCGTTAGTGACATGCGTCCCAGGGACCTCAGGTCTCGCTTCTACGGTCTACCCACCTGTGGCTGCCAAGGTAGAACATGCAGCTTCGGCAGCAGCAAAGCGGGAAACCAAGGTCAAGACCCATGGTTGGTCCCAGGGCGCGATGGCCGCTCGCTGGTATCGACGCTGATTAGGCCGGGCCGACTCGAACGATGGGAAAGGATGGATGGATGGCGGGGAATCAGTCAGCCCCAATGCATCAGAGACAGACTCGAGGTCAGTGGTCCATTGGCCACAGTTGGGAGCAGGGATATTCAGAGTTTCGGGGTTGAGCCCGGCCGGCTATGTGCGAGCGGTCGTTCTGTATGCATCTTTCTCTTGTCTCTACTCTCACTGGCCGAAGGGATGACATGATGGTTCGGCCAAACCGTGGTAGTCCACGACGCGGACTGAGTCAAGAGTCCAACCAAAGCATGGCAGCAGGGGACGGGAAAAGATGGAAAAGAACGAGGATGGAATCTGCACCCCGCATACTTGATCACCGCTACGTACCCACGTTCATTCCTTCACAATAAGGTAGGTACATAACCTGGAAGGTAGGCAAGGCAAGGCGAGAAGGCGCGCTGTTGACGTTGACGTTTGACGTTGGCAAAGGTGCAGCGATGACGTCGCTTGGTGGAGACTCCATCCGCGGCTCTGAAACGGGCGAGGCGTGCCGGGGCCATCGCTGTAGTCGAAGCTTAATTCCGTCGATCCGTGGCTTCCTCGCCTCGGCGGTCAGCGCCGCGAATACGTACCTGTCTTAGTCAACCATCTTTCACAACCAACCTTACATACCGTAAAAACTCACGCCGTTCGAACTTGCGCTAGCCCGTGCTCCCGTTGTCTTACTCACCTTCTGGCCAATACGTGCCTCTATTCAGAATCAAGATCTGGAAAAGTGGCGGAGATCAGCGAACTTTTTGTACTGAGAGAGGCTTAACGTGAAGAGTGCACGGGCTAGCGCAAGTTCGAACGGCGTGAGTTTTTACGGTAGGTAGTAGGTACCTTACTCAGTTCCTTGTACTCAGTTCCTAGACAGGACAAATTCAGCAAAGTGAGCAACCGAGAATGCAGGCCGTTTCTACCTCATCGATTGGGTTATGTGGTTACGCTGAACGATGAGATTGCGGAACAAACTTGGGTCGAATTCTCCGATTCATCCACGTCCAAATCCCCCGCCCTCCGGTCATCACCCCCCACCATAGAACGAGGCGGGAATAATCCACAAAAAGAAAACTGACGACTCACTGCATCTCCCACCCCGAATCTTGCATTGCTCAAACCCCATTGAAAAATCCCGTCCTGGAGAGACTCATGGGGGCCGATCGGACCGAATAGCAAAGCCCACAGCAGACGATGCATTCGTCACACTATTACGATGCGGGGACTCCACGTTGGCCGCGTTTTTTCTCCCTCGTCTCCATTTCCATTTACAGATAGACACCTTCTTTCCTCCTGTCAGTCTGATGTAATCTCTTCCTCGTTCCAAAGGCTCCGTCCTAGTGCCATTGTAACGCCGTCCCATTCCATACACATGCAAACTCCCAGGTGTCTACCTACCTACCTCCTGACATCGCTGGTAACCTCCTCCACATCAAGCAGCTGTCAACTCGACATGGCGAAAAAGGAGGCTCTGCGGAGGAGGGAACATGGCTGCTTCCGCGGTCGTTGGCTCGGAGAGTCTCCG